TCGTAACTCCTTTGGTGTTGACGGTGTCCACGGGCGGTGCCGATTGCTTACCATCAGGTAATCCGACTCGTTTGTCGATTTAGCCCATAAAAAGATCAGGAATTATGAAACGTAACCTATGTTATTTACCGAAAAATCCAATTCAGAAATCTATTTAGTTTCTTAAGCAAAAAAAACTCCTATACTTATTATAAAGTCAGTATGGCCGAGATAAGGTCGTATATTTACAATTCAAGAATAAAGCGTTTCATCCTGTTGCTTATTGAAATATCTACCTTACTGATCTAAAAATAGTTTACGTATGTATGTATCATTACTTATAGTTAAACAAAACTCTGCAGTTACGTTGTTCATATGAGAAATAATGTTATGTTATTTTCTAAAATTATGATAAAACGTTCCATTATTTCATTGGACGGAAATAAGATAAATAATGACCCAGCACTTTATCTGTGCATGCGATGACATAAAGATCTATTTTCCATTATAATGAGCAAGAATTGTTGATAACTCTAGTAATACAACGAAACAGAATTGGCGTTATCATCATCACTATTATCGTCATCAGTCAGTTCACTACAATCCATGGTTAATTATTGGCTGCATAGTTGACGTGGTGGCTGGACAACTGGCTACTGTTTTTTTTTTTTTTTTTTGTGAGGGGAAAATCATCAAATGACTTCTCCCGCCCAGGGCCGGGCAGGAGGGAGTGTCAGACTCTTACTGACTAAAAACCCCCCTGTTCCTTCTCCTGCTCTGTGCCGAGGTCGCGGTACCTTATTGCGCTTACCCCGCAACCCCGGCTGAACATCAGCCCTTTAGGGCCCCGTCTGTGGTGGTCTATTGGCTCTTTGAGGCGCGCGCGGAACGCTACGCGCCGTACGCTCGGGCCTGGTTCTGGTCGGGCGGCGAGCTGCCCTTACTCGCCGACCGCAGGCCCGTACTTACGGTGGCCGGAGATCGTCCCTCGATCCCCGACGCCCGTAGTGTCGCCAGTTGCGGCTGCTGGGGCGTGAGGAGGAGGATTGCTCCCTCACGCGGGCCGCCTCTCTCTTTGCGAGCATGACTGCTTCACAAAAGGAGGAGACGGCGTCCCAGTTCCTCTCACTCCGCACCATGGCCTCGACTAAGGCCGGGCGCGAGAGGTCGCCGCCGCCGATCACTTCCCTGAGGATACGGCGGTGCTCAGCCCAGGCAGGGCATACCGCTACCGTATGCTCCACCGTATCCTCTAGGTGGTCCTCACAATGACGACACTCGGGCGTTTCCTCCCGCTGAATCCGAAACAGGAACCTACCGAAGCTGCCGTGCCCGGTAAGCACCTGCGTCAGGCGGAAGGTGAGGACGCCGTGGCGTCTCTCAAGCCACTCCTCAAAGAGGGGTCTTACCGCTGCTATGGTAGCGTGCCCGGCCCTCGGTTGCGACAGTCGTTGTTTCCACTCTGCCATGAGATCTCGCCGGAGCTCATTCCGCCACGCACTAATTTGGCGCGGCAGAGGATCTTCGCCCCGGCGACGCGCGTCTGCGCGCAAACTGTAGACGCGCGCGAGCGCCTTCGCTTCTAGATCCCACGGCGGTGATCCGGCAAGGAGGTTCGCCGCCTCCCCGGAGATCGTGCGATACCCGCGGATTACTCGAATAGCCATGACCCTCTGGGACGCGACCAGCGTACGAGCCGGCCGCCGCTTCAAGGCCGGCGCCCACACAGGGGCACCGTAGAGGGCCATGGATCGCACAATCCCCATATACAACCTCCGGCAGGAGGCGTTTGGCCCCCCGAGGTTGGGAAGGAGCCGCTTGAGCGCGGCCCCAGACCGTTCTAGCTTAGGGGCCAAACGACGAAAATGCTCCGTGAAGTTCCATCGGCTGTCGAGGACGAGACCCAGGTACTTCATCGCCGACTCGACGCCGATGGTAACTCCTCCTGCCGTTATTTGGGACCCACCTGGAGGTGGCGCGCTCCGACGGCCATAGAAGCACATGGCCTCGGACTTGTGGAGCGCCACCTCGAGTCCCAACTGCCGGATCCTTGCAACGACTGTCGCAACCGCTTGTGACATCAGGTCGGCCGCCGCCTGATGCGACCTCCCGTTCGCCAGCACCAGCGTGTCGTCAGCATAACAGACAATGCTGACGCCGCTCGGGAGGTCGGTGCGTAGCACCCAATCGTACCCGATGTTCCACAGGAGAGGTCCCAGGACCGATCCCTGTGGGACACCGCGCGACACCTCTCGCCGATTCCACACGCCCCGGTGACCGGGGTAGATGACGCATCTGTCCGTCAAGTAAGCCTCGACTACACGACGGAGATAGGCAGGCACCCGGTGATACCGGAGTGCCTCCAAAATGCAGCTCCAGGGCAACGAGTTAAAGGCGTTGGCGATGTCCAGAGACACCGCCACGACGACTCGCCTCCCGGCCAACGCTGTCCCCGTCGTGAGGTCCCTCACGCGCATGATGGCGTCCACCGTGGAGCGCCCTCTGCGGAAGCCGAACTGGCCGTCCGCTAAATCCGGCCCCCTTCCAGACAGGTGCCCGACGAGGCGGTCTGAGATTATCCTCTCGAACAGCTTTCCCACCTCGTCGAGCAGCACAATGGGCCGGTACGCGGACGGGGAGTCCGCAGGACGCCCCGGCTTCTTCACGAGGACCAGTTTACCCGTCTTCCACGACAGCGGAAACTGGCCTCTCTCCAAACATGAACTGGCTACTGTGCAACGTGACTTGGGTTCAACCCGCATGGAACAACTCTGCGCGATCCTAAAATTGTTGTGGCGCGTCCGAATGGCACACAGAAATATAAAAAACAACTCTTTTCTTATATCTATGGAATGGCATGTGTGTCAAATTGAATGTTTGCAAACACACCCACGACACACGACAAATCCCTAGACACACTAGGAAACGTTTTTATTTATTTTTTATCCAAAAAATATTAAAAAAATATTGGTCTTCTTCAAATATTTGGATTTCCATATTCTAAAACAGAAATGTTACACATCTCATTGCCCTTCGTTTAATCATTTACCGTCCTCTTAATTCTTCGTCTACCTACCCACTTTTAATGTCAACATTTTCATTTTCATCCCTTTCCACAAATTAATATCACATACTTACAGTTCTTAGCATCTTCTATAAAGTATGAAGGGGTTTAAGGCTACTGAGATGTGTCACATTAGCATCATACATAAAAGTATGTACAACTATGTTCCTATAGAATTATCTGAATAAGTTCAAATCATCATTTGACATCTCTTTATCACATCACATGTAAATTATCAGCAGTGAATATCTTAGGCAAGTTTTTCCTGCAGAATCGAGATCAATTGGAATAATACCGCTAGTAGTCAGAAAAATTGTTCGTGTGTCATTTTTTAAACTGCCTACCTATAAGCGCAATCTAGGTATCGTTATTTTTCCCTATAATATTTTATTTATTTAAAAAAATAAACGTTACCCAGCACTAGGATTTTCTCCTGTGTCGTGGGTGCGTTTACAAACGCACAATTTCACATACACATCACACCCAGACCCGGAACAACACTTCGTGGATCACACAAAGAGTTGTTCCGCGCGGGAATCGAACCTGCGACACGTTGCGCGGTAGGTCCAGCCACCGCCACAACCGTGCAGTCTTGATAAATAAGTGGAAAATATTTATATATTTATTTACAGTCACGTGTTCAGTAACCTAGTCTCTCTTTCAAGGTTGACGTCATTACACGAGATCATAATATAATCATCCGCATTTCCACCCTCACTTATCTTTCTACTTACCTACATACAAATATAATAAAACAAAACTATTTACTTTTCCTCCTATATAGAATTTATTTTATTATTCTTATCTATATTTTTAACTGACGTGAAATACTTGACGAGCTGAGTGGGCAATTTTATCTCGCTATGAATGGATTAAACATACTGTCAATATGTTTGTAGTAGGTGCCTCAATCGATCTGTCTGTTATTTTTACCTATTAACATCTCTTCGCTTCTAACATACGTCATCTGTATCTTTGATTACCACTTACAATTTTAAAGAAGTCGTACGTTACCTGTCAAGATTATCAAGATTTGAAGATTGTTCTCAACGTCTTATAGTTTGACTACAAAAAGATATCATTACACTATAATCTTATCTTTTCCTTACATACATATATGTGTGTATATATACACTTGTCATATAAATCCAAACATGAGACTTATGTGCAAACAATAATAAATTTAATACATTTAAGTACTGCAATTAAAGTAAGTAAGTAATACTGTTTTATCAGTGTCACTGTGTGTAAATTAATGTCAAAATTGAGTTTTCAGCCTTATCACTGGGTAAAAAGAATGTGGTTTTGCTATGCACGTTAAAATTTGGTGTGTTATTATTAGTATAAAGTCTTTATTACAATTATTACATCAAATATTAGAGTATAAAAATGTCAAAACATAATATACCTAATATACCTACTTACATATGTATCTTCTTTATCCCGTAAGTTACAGTTACGTAACGTTTAACTAAACTGATATTTCATAAGTAGTTAATAAACAGGGAAATTATCTAGAACGTAGATAGTAATATAAACTCATTGTACAATCTATCCTTTAAATTAAATAATAGGGCTAACGTTAAGTACATTAGGAACGAACTTTAATATACTTTCAAGAAATTATAGATATGTCATTATCATCACCAGCCTATAAGCGTCTACTGCTGAGCAAAGGCCTCTTCTCACACGAAGAAGGTATGAGCATTAATCACCACGTTTGCTCTAGGCGGATTGTACAGGTTTTCTCACGATATTTTCCTTCGCCGTATGTCAGTGGTGTTAACCTGCGGGCCACCACAATATGAGAATGTGTTTAGTGAAAATACACCACAGCCAATCAGTCTATCTAGTTCTATAAATTCTAGACATATAACTCTCAATGTCATACCAACCCAGTAGGTACCTACAAATAAAAAAATTGGTAGATACGTTAAAGAAAACAAACAAAACATTTCATATCAATAAATAACTTATACTTTTCCTTTAGATTCGCGGTGACTTAATTTAAAATGAATGGATCATATTTACATAAATTGTATTGGAATGTCGTATCACAGTGTAGGTACTTCCGTGCTTAGATACTAAGTACCTGAGAAAATATTAAACAAGAGTAGTCTGTGCATATATATACCTATTATATGTATATGGACCTATCATTTGTACATAGGTACCTGGTACTGGGTACGTGTGTGAATTATTTCGTTGGATTAAAATAATCATTTGGGATCGACAGTGGCAGAAAAATTGGTACCTACTACCTCAAAATGAATTTGTTCACATCACTTTATCTGTACCTATCCCTACAATTCTTTTTTTATAAATCATGAATATAGGTCCAGGCTTTCTCGAGGTAAGTACCTCTGGGTTATGTTATGTTATGTAACACGGAATGTTTTCTATATAAATGATTACTGTTTAAAAATATATTTACTGGAATATGTATACATTAAAGGGGAAGTTCCTTATACTAAAACCATTTGAATCTTTGTATAAAACATTTTCTACCATGTACAAAATTAATAGCAGAAAATGAAATTTAAATATTAATTAATATCCTTATTCTATAGGAGCCATAAATTCACAAACATCAATTACTAAAAACTTATTAGATACTCATTGTTTTTCTACATACGAGTTCAGTCACCAGAGGAACTGACTGTTCATTTCCAATTATATTTACAAAATTGTATTCTTATAATTTCCACAAATACGCATTAACTATTTACAAACAATACTTTGCTCTATTTGTTCGCATATTAATTTAACTCTTTAAAGGTTTAGTTTTTTTCCCAAACGCTTCACCTTCTTCTATTGTGGTTGTCAACTCACACCCTTTAGTCTCTGGTAGACATAAAGTAACAAAGGCTGCTAATAGTGGGAGAATAGCAAACGCGACTGGGGGCATCCACAACGCGGTATCTCTCATTCCTATCACAAAGGGTGCTACCATAGAACCAATTCGAGCTGCCATCGAGGAGAAACCGAGAGCAGCGTTCCGAACAACAGTTGGAAACATCTCTGTACAATATAAATATACAACTAAAAATACAATAAAACTGGCAACGACCCCTATACTCGCACTTATAACTGAGCCGACGCCTTCTGGTATCACTGCCAATATTAACAAGCAGACTGCACAAATTATATGGAATGTGATTACAATCGTTTTTCTTCCCATAACTTTCATCAATGGTATGGCTAAGAGCGTGCCGAGTAAAGTGACACTTGCACTGCACGCTACGTTGATGAAAACGTTGCCACTTAGCTGACCCACGTACTGCGAAACACCATAGAAACAGTAGCTACATGCCAACCAATTAAATGCCATGGCTATAATGTTCTTTCTAAGGTTCGGAGTTCTAAAGAGATCGAAGAAGTTTCCTTTCCTCAGCTGGTGTTTCTCTAAAGATGCCTGGTACGCCTCGATATCTGCTCTGATGTTATCTGTAGGGCGATTGTTTCTGTAAGATAAAGTTATAAATGGTTAGATTTAATTTACCGTACAAATGCTTGATGTTAATGACAGATGTAAGGAAACTCACACTTTAGCAACTCGTTCTAATACTTCGATAGCCTCGTCTGTACGTTTCACTGCTATCAGCCATCTTGGCGTTTCAGGTACGAGAAAGAAATATGATAGCAGGATTACTACTGGTGCAGATATTGATAATTGAAAATCAGTATAATCTCTGAAGAAGTAGCCAAAGAGAGGTAGTGCCATGTGGCCCAAATTAAACGGTACTTGGTAAAGAGCTGAGATGACATCTCTGTACTGTGTTCCGACAAACTCCATTACGATGACGAATCCAGTGACCATAGTTCCACCCACTGACATCCCGACGATAAATCTTAAAAAGGTAAACGTCCAGTAATCTGGAGCAAACGCAGCTCCTACTCCACACGCTATTTGCATCACTACAGCTATTAGAAGAGGGGATTTTCTTCCGAACCTGGAAAGCAAAATATTACATTATGAAAGACTAGCACAACCTGACAATATAGCCGAATAACAAATATAGTTAAATAAGGTACCTGTCTGACGCCATTCCGAAGAAAACACTGCCCAATAATGTTCCCAATTGAAATAATGTCTGCGTAAAACTGGTTAACCATTTTCTATCACAGATCAAGTCCCATTCTGATATGATAGTACTTGTGAATACTGAAGTGTCGTAGACTGGATCCGAACATGGGCAGGTGTTATTAAGTTCGGAGCCGCTACAGCTATATGACACTTTTGGTGACAAAAACAAAATGGCCATTTGGTGGAAAGCCACTGGAAACTTCGTTAAGAATATTAGAAGACATAGCCAAAGATGATATTTTCCAAATGAACCGATAACCTTCTGTATCAAATCTTGTTGTACTGTGGGCTTCACAGCTGGAAAAAAAAGTAAAATAAATTTATATTAATGAAAATACATCGGGCAGCCGGCTAGTAGAACTTTTCCCACTTTTAATTCACGTGAGTCGTTGTTATCACTATATTTTGTGTGTCTCATCATAGTTACTATACATTTAGGTGAATATCAACGTTAAACTCAAAACAAAGGAATATGATAACGTTAGGTTGATATGTTAGGTACGTAGAGTGGTTTAGTTCTACCGCTGAAATTAATACAAAGTTGAACAAATGTTCACACTTGAATAACTTGATGGACATCCCTTAATCCTAACGACAACATATCTACACAAGATGACTCATATGAACATCGTCATACATATATCGCTTAAAGATTGGAATCACATTGTAGATAGGTTTGAAATACGCAAAAAAAACCGAACATATCTGGAATTTCAGAGGACTGTCTGGAACGCGGGGGAAATCCTTTGCCTGCCAGATCTACACATACTTAATATTATAAATATGTAAGTTTGTATGTTTGTAAGTTCGTATGTAGGAAGTTATTTTTAGAACCGCTGGTCGTATTTCCAAAATTATTTCACTGATAGGTAGCTACAATGTTCCTGAGTGCTATAGGCTATAAAACGGGGCGGTGGCCCAGGGCGACAAATTATAGGACGCCAAGGTCTGGAAGTTGGAGTGTCTTGCCTCTCCTAGTGCAAACCCTCAGAAGTGTGCTCTACGCTGCATTGTGCAAATGCATATTTTTTATTGTTTTTTTTTAAATTTTACTTGGGATCAGCAAAAATTCTAACACTTGATATTGTTTTCCTCAAGTGGGCGCCACAATATTTTCGCCCAGGGTGTAAGTGGCCCTTACACCGGCACTGGGAGACATACTTATATACTTAGTATTTATAGTGCCCACATGCCACACTATCAATCGAGGTCCGTCCAGTTGTAACAATATTATGTTATTTTTATTTAGTATTGGTATTATGTTATTTTTATTTAGTAATTGGTTAAAGTTGGGTAAAACCAGAGCACAACTTTTCGGGTTATAGGATATCGTAAATTAACATTACACTTAGTAGTCATAAGTCAGTAGGTAGTAGTCATAAGTAGGTACTTACCTACTTGCGAATAATAACCGAATAATAGTAATTTTCTTGAAATATATGTATAATCCAATGAATAATATAATACAATGGAAATCTATTATAAGATGTATGTACCTACCTAATGTTGTTAAAGTCTATTTACCTCACACAAAACCAGCAAGAACCAACAGCTTTTCTGTTTCGCTGTGAGTTTCCTTTTTCCTTTTTTTTGCTTGACGTTCAAAAGTGCCTACTGTCTACTGTCGTGGCTTGTGTATGTGTATTTGTATGTTTATGAATGCACCCACGGCACAGAAAGTAGTAGAGATAATCCTAGTATGGGGCAACGTTTTCAAAAGAAGTTTCCGAAGGAATTTGGGAAAATCAGCGCCGCAAGCGAGTTACGAGTGCGTTGCCGATCTTTGGGGGATTGGGATTATGAGAGGTTGGGGAAAGGGAAGGATTGGGCCTCGGGTAGCCTCACTCACACGGCGAATCACAACACTGTGGTTGTTTCACGCTAGTTTTCTGTGAGGCCGTGGTATCATTCCGGTCGAGCCGACCCATTCGTGACGAAGCTTTGCTCTCCCACACTTAAAGATATTTATAAATTCTCTCTTAGTGCCTTTAATAATTTAAGTCTCATTTTTATTTTGTACAGTGGTCTTATAAAGGTCTGCCAGGCATACACAAATCTTAACAACAAGATCCACGTTAGACTAGGTCATGGGCAAGTCGTACGCAAAATATCAATTAAATCCACGCTCAATAGAATTTATTTGCGTGAATATCTATATACCCAATAACCATTTATACATTGTACAAATTTTCCTATGCTTAAGACTGTTCACGCGATAGATAAATGATGGAAGTCAATTCATTCATCATTCATCAATCATCAATCAATTTAATACGGAAAGAGCTGAGCCGATATTATTTAAATTTGTGTTGATACCCCATCCCCAATCTCCAAAACCCTAATTCCTAAAAGGTCAGCAACGTAACTGCTCCATTGCAGGTATTCATGGGCACTGATTGCTTACTATCAGGTAATCCATCTCCTCATTTGACTATTACATAAAAATACTACAAAATTGTCTCTCTAAACTTTATTTCGAAAATGTTGCTACTTAACTTTTTGAACCTTGATTTAAGTATCACGTATGAGGATCAAATTGCATTTAGATCAATTAGTCGAATATGTTAATAGGTATTATTTCTGACTTGAAAGTTTGTTGAAAAATCTAACTGTATATATTGTCACTGTGGAGAAATTTGCAAATTGATAAAGTCCGAATATCTATGTCATCAGAAATCAGGTACAGAACTCACTTTTCAGTTACAAGGGAATATAAAATACAATGCGCATTGGGATTATAATAACATGGGCTTTCTTAATAAAATTGATCGCCGACTTTCAGCTACTCAATTATTGTAATATATTATTTTACAATAAACTACATTACAAATGATGTAAAACTACCCAGTGACCTACTTAAATGCAAAATAATAACAAGTGACAACTTACAACTTACATAATAACAACAGAACACAGCATCACTGCAAATTATAAAGTCGGTTTCTCTATCCCTATGTATGCTTAAATATTTAAAACTACGCAACGGATTTTGATGCGGCCTTTTTAATAGATTGATTGAAGAGGAAGGTTTATACTAACTCTTTGTAAAAGGAATCTGTATATGAAAAAATATAAAAGGAAACTGATTTAGAAAGAGTAACCATGGAGTTTCTTCCTCGTTCTTCTCCATCGGAATCTACACTTTGGAACGAGCAAATAGCTTCACTAAGAGGACTAACCGACAGACTGACACTATATCTTCAAAATTTTGTTTGACGTTCAAAAGTGCCTGTAATGGTCTAATTGGAATAAATGATTTTTGACTTTGACTTTGACTATAATGTATAATAACATCCCTTAAATAGTAGAGAAATTTAGAATCAGCATTGCTCTCGTACGAAGCCGGGCGAGTCGATAGTAATTTTATAAATAATAACAATTTATCTTTTATCGTATGTACTTATTTGTTTATCGTCACTGACTGTTCCTACCCTTTGACCCACTATGTATCTATATATAAGGGCGTTACACTTATTAATAACTAGCTTATGACCGCGACTTCGTTCGCGTGGTATAGTGATTCCCTGTAATTTTTTGGTATAAAAACTATCCTATGTCCTTTCTCAAGTTTCAAACTATGTAGGTACCAAAATTCACAAAAATCGGTTGAGTAGTTTAAGCGTGAAGAAGACAGACAGACAGAGTTACTTTCGCATTTAAAATATTAGTACCTACAGATAGTACAAATAGTATAGACTGTAAAGAGTAGGTAACGAAGTTATAGCTATGTAGTTATTTAAAATTACATTTAATTATTTCATTAAGATTTACGACCTTTTCAAACAACTTTATAAAAATATCTGATAAAGTTAAATGACTTAAATGCCACGTTTATACGAATCGCATTTATATCCTTTATATGTTACATAGTGAATACTTAGCAATAGCTACATTGTAAAACAGGTCTTTACAATTTTAACGTAACATAACAATATCAATGATTTTCATCCCCATGGAATAAGCAAAAGCAATGTTATCTTATAAGTAAGTCACGAGTCGTCAAAAAATTATAAACATTGGTTACCTATTTATTAGCTTATGTCTTCTGCTTCATCCGAGGTTCAACCAGGAATAAATTATTCTTCGTTGTTGGTTGTGTAATTTAAAATTTTCACGTTTATTATATGTCATCATCATCATCAGCCTATAAGTGCCCACTGCTGAGCAAAGGCCTCTTCTCACACTGAGAAGGTTTGAGCATTAATCACTACGTTCGTTCAATGCGGGTTGGCGATTCCAAACTTATAATTAGAAATTATAAGTCCGGGTTTCCTCACGATGTTTACCTTCACCGTATGTCAGTGTTGTCTAAATAATCATAGAAAGTACACATATACCTAACTCGGAAAAAGTCACATTGGTACTAGCCAGGTTTCGAACCCTCCGGGCCACCGCGACACTCATTATTATATGTACCTATAATTAGAATAATGCCATAGTCTGTAGCATAGGATACTAAAGATTTTGAAAGTTTTAGATGTTTTGCTCATCCTAGAATCTCCAGCCGGGGTTTCGAGTGCAAGTGTAGTTAATAAGGTACCGTGGTCTCGGCCCGGAATAGGAACGGGAGGGTTTTTAGTCAGTATGAGTCTGATACTCCGTCTCGCCCTATCTAGAGCATAAGAAGTCACATAACGATTCCCCCCTTCCAAATAAAAATATGATCGATAGCTGTGTTTTGCGATTTTACCTACGTCAATTTTATAGCATTAAACAAGGCCAGAAGATTTATTATTAATAATTAATAATAAATACATATTTTTTTATATAAGTACCTTGTAAATAAAGATGTTTTTGCCAACTAGGTATTTACATAGTTATTTATCGCCCATTGTGGTTATTTACGACTTTTAAAAAAAGCGAGTAAGGTAAAATATAGCAATAATCTATTGGCAGTATTCACTAGGATATTTTCCCGAGGAGTATTTACGCACAGTCTCTGAACACAAAACGATGATACAAAGACATAAATAACGATTTGTTAACAATATAAAAATTGTCGCCCATGACACGTTTGAATTTTTTTATTTAGGTATTTATTTATCATATCAACAGTAAATATCGGATTATCACTTAAAATAGCAACCAAACACAATTAGGGTTAAAACTTTTCCTATCATAACTAAATTAACTTACTATTTTATGAGATGATGAAAGTAAAATGGGTTTTAAATTTCCAGCCATTTTACTTTGGAATTGTCGTCAATTTCAAAGTCTCGCAGTTTATTTCAAATGGTCCTTGTGGTCTATTGTTACATTGTTGTTAAATGTAAATTATTAGTTTAAACCCCAACTTAGGTTCCGAGGAAATAAAATAACTCACTAGGTACGTGTAAGCGGTGGTTTCACCCACACATTTCTAGCTTCTGTTCATTGGCGATATTTTAAAATTAGTAGACATCTGAATATATATTATTATGGTATTATTTAAACTATACCTATTGTTTAAAGGTTTATATCAGTTAGGTCTATTGTCACGACCTCTCAAAACAGCTGTAACTTATTTAAGCAAGGCTTTACAGCAGATACAACCGTGAAAACACCGAAACATTGAACGCCGCCGGCGCGTCCCAGAGACATCAATAACAAAACTAGCGAAAATCCCGCAACAAAATAGATCAGAAGACTAAAGTCTTCATAATTATTATTTCTCCCCTATATTGCTCCTGAAATGATGAGTGCGGTATTAGTTCTGTTAGAACCAAAAGAAAATATCATTTAACTGTGAAGTTGCTGCTGTCCTGTCGATAGGTGATTATTCTATACATCTGCCAAGAGGGTAACATAGGCACTCTTTGATAAATCAGAATCCATTAACATCTGATAGTAAGATGTCAAAACCTGAACTGTGAACCTACCAATATTGGTTAAACCACACATTGGAATTTGGAGATCAAGGCTGGGTATCAAAATTACCTTTAGCACAAAGGTGAATTAAACTAGCAAATCTTACTTGGAATTATTAACACATTGTGAAAGTTGACAGACCGTTGTTTGATTGTTTGGCAAACATTGCTGGTAAAGGTCGTTAAAAAAATAAACAAGTTTTAGTCCAACCAAAGAAAGTAAGCTATGTATAAGCTTGCTTCGAATGTTTCATTTCAATAGTCTAACATTACTTTTACCCACTTACGAAACAACGTCTTGCACAAACGATTGATCAAAATCTCGCATGATTGATTCCAAGACATAATTATAACATAACATCACGCGCCTTCAAATCTCAAAACTCCAATACCTATTTCATTATAGGTATTAGAAGTCCTATTTTTAACAGTATTTTTTTTTCAAAAACGTTGCCTCCTTGCTGTCTTTTATTATAGTAATACATAGATACTTATATGGCCCATAGAGCCACTTTCCTGCAGTAACCTATTATTAACTTCATAGACTATGTAATCCTTGTTTACTGTACAAGTGGGTATTTCAGTCAGGTAGGTAATTTGTATGGTAACCAATTGCTTAGATTACACAGAGATCAAAAGTATCTACATAAGTTTATGTTCCTACTACAAACAGCATTCAATGAAGGACCGTCAAGGAACGAGTAAAAACTACCGAGTGCTATACTTTTTTTTTCGAGTACTGAACGCATTATTTACTACAGTAAGTAGGGTCAACTCATCTAATTCTGTGATAAAAAAGAATGTGGAAAAAAAAACAGGTTAAACTTTATAAATTTTATTTTTATTTTTAATAGGAACATTAATCAGTCTTCTATTTATCATATGAGCAAGTGTAATCTTAATATATATGAATCAACTCAGCGTAAAATGAGCTTAATCAAACCGCGATGACTTGTCTAATTCTGTGACAAACACCATAATTCGGTGATAGTACTTTTCTAATTCTGTTATAACCGAATTAAGAGAGTATTTATTATTTTTTAACATAAAATCAACAAGTATATGCTTTTAACAACTAATTGTCAAAGTATCATCAACTTACACTCACCTTTTCTATTTAAAATTAATTAAATAATGACAGCACAGTTGCACGCTACCGTGAAACGTCAAACATGGCGGGCGGAATGACAAATTCCGTGATTGTTACTATATCACTCGCACGATCTTAACAAAAATTTGTACACGAAAAGAAGATTTATTACCATACCATAGGGTTAATTTTAATGTATTGGATTTTACTCCTATAACGCTGTGAAAGAGTCCAAACGTGGAATCTCCGAATTAAGTGAGTCACACAATTAGGTGAGTTTACTATACGACTTTTATATGCAGAACCTGCTTTAACCGCATTTTTCTGTTGCTATAGGTACTTTGAAACATTTTATCTACCCATTTAAATGCATGTATCTTTATTTATTCGAAGATACCTTCTTACTCTCGTTTCGTATTTTTCCTGCTGTGTTATCTTGTAATTGTGACATATTTAAAAGTGTAATTTGTTTTGAAGGGCATGTAACATTACTAAAAAAACAACACAGGAGCTGGTACGTTCACATACAGAAATCTTTTATGTAGGTACTTTGTATTGATTAGCAAAGACGGTTAGTATTTTGTAAATCGCAAGTACCTGTTAATATTTTTAGTATCTCACCTCCTTTTCACTATAAACTAAAACTCGCCAACAACTATGGAATTTAAATAACACACGTAACATTCTCAGTGTCAATGCTAATTCGCAAAGGCCTATGATAATAATATCGGGGTTAGCACTCATGTTGAAGTCAATACACTCACAAGACACTTTCACTACAATAAATTAGCTTACCGTTTCGCTCTGGCATTTCCATGGTGTTTATGTTGACATGAACTTATGTATTTAAGTATATAATCACTCCGTTGAAGGCTATAATTCTGTCACGCTATCGTTGTCATGGGCACTGAGTTTAGTGAATGCGGAGATCTGCACTACGCGGCCCACTATTGCAGACTGAGGACATTGCTTTGTTACTCGTACAGAACCAAGAGCTGCGCCCGCGCCGCACAACCGCACAGCCCGTACGCCATTCTCTTGCGCTATCAATGCTATTTAGTAGACGCGAGAAAACGTCACTATATCGATATTATTGTGACAGCGAGAAACTTTAAGATAACAACACTATCTGCACAAACATGTGTTTCCCAGTTTTAGTTTTGCAGATAGATCCCACATAAACAATAAACCAAGTACTCGTAAATACATTAAAATGTAGCACTAAATTCATATAGAAAATTAAAGATTATTTAACCTTTCTATCGTAGCAATTAGACACAATAGAAGAAGAATACTTAGGCGCGCAAACGAACGCTCGCTTGGGATTTGATCAATTAAAAGTCACCTCGCAAAGTCGCAATGTATTTTGTCCTGTGTCGTGGATGCGTTTACAAAATACTTATAACATAAACCCGGATAAGAAACAGAATTTTATGGCTCACATTAAAAATCCATGCAAGTATCGAACCTGCGAAACATTCCGCAGCAAGCTGGTCGATGAACCACTGCGCCAACAGCACAGTCTCTAGAGATTATTACATTTTTCCCATAATATATACTTAATAAATATTGAAAATTGCGGTTTTCAGTGAAGCACCTATTCTTTTTTTTCATTAGGAACAATAAATTGCATTGCACCATTTGAGTCACTGTGAGTTGTCTTGAATGGTTTCATTTAGATAGATTTTTTTATTTATAGGTGCGATATGCATTCTTTTTATCACGACATTTACTTTTAGGAATATTCAAAGGAATCAGTATTTTTTTGTGTCCCTCCATTATTCAATGGGACCAAATATACTGTTAGATTATGGTAATTAATTCTACAAAGACTTAACAACCAACTTGCGGTTATCATTAACAAAATAATGTGGCTTATTTTTTTAAGTTACAATACTTTCTCTAATATTATCAAAAAATTATAATTATTAGGTATCTAACTCATTAGAGCCACTACTTTGGTATTAAAAAGAAGACTAAAATAAATACGCCTTAAGCAAACGTGAGAATAGTTAGAATTCAGACAGACGTGACAGCAATATACTAATTAAGTTACAGTTATAACTGACATTTTTAGCTACATCAAACTTAAATCTTTTAGACAAGAAACATTCTCTAGCGGCAACTTGCATCTCAAGAAGTTAAATCGGTTGTTATGTGCAGGAATCGAACGAAGTCACATTGCGCAGCTGTAGCTACGCTCAGTCACTGAAGAAAAACCTTATTTATAGAAGTAAATAGGTAGGTACGATACAACTAAATTGAACTTGATTACGTTGATGAGCGACTTTGTGGGTAACATTATATCTGATTCATGGCAGGAGTGTTTAGGCCGTGGATAACTAGTCATATCCGGAATGTTTAAATTGTACCATTAAGCACATACGGCTACATATCAACCTATGAAAAACCAGTATAAATTGACTGTTAAATGTTCGACCAGACAATAAAAAACGACACCATGATATACTGGACTCTTATACCATGTGACATGACTACTGTAATAAAATTCGCGATCGACTGAAAGAATACGAAACGGTCACTCTATGTTACCTACATAGAGTGACCGTTTCGTTTCTGACAGTTTCGGTACCTATCTATATAAATAAAATAAATTGCCAAAATCAATGACCGAAATATAGGGACCTACCTACGTGGGTACGACTTCCGAACGATTGTAAACAATTGTGAATTAGATAGATAATTGTTTTATTGTGTTCGTTATCTATAGTCAAAACAAGTTGTTGATCATACAACTATTATTAGATGATAAATTGAGCAAAATAAGGAAGTGTTTAACACTATATCAGAGCACCTATTATTCTTATTAATCACTAGAAACCAAAGAAAGAAAAAGTAATAAATTAATATAAAGGGTTATAGCTATATAAGTATTATTTTATTACTTTTTCTTTCCTACGTTAGGAACCTATATCTAAGTAGGTAGATTAAGTTCATTTCGATGAGCTAATTCCAAATGTAGGTACATAAGGGGAATCAGTTTGAAAGTTGGGAGAAAAAAACTGCAGTAGGGTGAACTCATCTAATTCTGTGACTCGCCTAATTCGGTGATATTTGGTTTGAGCGCTATCATAGGGCTATACGAGTGAAATCAAAGGTTTCAAATACAACCTTAAGCCTCAGTGATTAATCTCGAATTCGTATGTAAATTTTGGGGATGCTCGAGTGAGCGAGATAGAAACAGCTAACGGTTTTGTCAGTTCGGGCGCGAATTTCGACGGTTTCCGCAGTGGTTGTGAATGGGTGGCGAACTTTGCTTCAATTATATAAGTATTTAACCCATTTTTTAGCTTCTTTCGAATAAAATGGATTGTATATGATATTCCCTTAATGTGGCAGTAAAAAAATCGCTAAAGTTCTGCGTCTTTTTCGTGTTAGAGCTTATTTTGTTCGTCAAAAATATTAGTGTTTTAGCGATTGAGTGGTTTCTGTGCTATCACAGAATTATAGTAGTCATATATACAAATATTTGCGGTTTTAACTAAAATTATTGACTTATTTTGAGTGTAGTAGACAATATTGATGTTATTTTATTACGTTTATCTGATCTTAAATAAACTGACGACTTTGAGCCAATATTATATTTTGCTATCACGGAATTTGTTGACACTTTTTTTTGGACTTGTCACATAATTGCGTGAGTAATTTACCAAATTTCACAGTTTTTTTTATTAATATGAGCTCATCTTTAGGCAGCCGCTAAAATCTTAGCAGATAGGTACGTATTAATTATTTTAAATTGCAGATTCACTTTCAGATATATCATGGATGACCCCAACAAGAAGAACAGAAAGTATTCGGAGTCCGATTTCAAAGTTACTTGCCTAATTCCGTTATATCAGAATTAAAGTATAAGCTATCACGGACTTAAAGAGGTCACCACGGAATTAGGCAAGTTGACTTGGTTTAGTAAATTTGTTATAACTCCCAGGAGTCTAGAATAAAATCTGATTATTTGTGCTAATATTCCTCATAAAAGACTGATAAAAAACTCATGCTGATACTAATTAAATTAGTTAATAATTTACTGGTATTTTGTAACTCAAATGCATTTGTCACGAAATTAGATGAGTTCACCCTACCTAGATAAATGCAGCACACGGAATGTTTCTACCGTGAAATGTAAGTTTACGTTATTTATTATTCTTGGGGTTGTATTATGAAACAACTAGCTTCCGCCGGCGGTTTCACCAACGCAGTATGTTGATAAAAAGCCTAAGTATATGTTAATCCAGGGTATCACCTATCTACATTATTCTACATAGGAATCGAATTTAAACGAGATCGCTCCAGCCACAGAACAGAAATTTTCTATTCCGTGGGTCCAACCATTTTTGCTTAAAAGAATAACAAACATGTATATCTATACATTCTCACAAACTTTCACACTTATAATATTAGTCGGAAAAATGTTTATGGCCAATATGTGCACAGCACACTACAATATTTTAATATGTCTTCATCGGGAGATGTTCGGAATAGACCTCCCCACTTGCATTAGCGTAATTCTGGCTTCTCAACGCCTAATTGATTCCGTGGTCGTCAGTTGAGCCTACCCACTTTTCTATTCTGGGGTAGGTAGGTACCTACATATATCTACGGGTGGTATAAAACGGGATACCGGGAACGGGAGATTTTGGCTAATTCATTTTTATCACGGTATAAACATGTTGATCTTACCTGTCCGAAACCATTCCAAAAAACAAAGTTTCAAATACTAACTGCTTGCAATGCTTAGATACTAAGATAAATTGGTTCGCCGTATCTTTTAAATTGAATTCCGTGAAAAAATATTGATAGATAGATATCTGTCAAATGATCCGGTGATAATAAGAATCAAATCTTTAAGGCCCTAAAAGTGGGTATTTAGATAAAAATGTATCTAACTTTTCGTTTGCCTAAACCGGTATCAACGTCTTATCTCACTCTACAGTACTTACTCTATGGTATGTAAGTACCTACAGGGAAGTACCTATCTACTGGAAATGAAATGCTAAAACTATTCATTTTAGAATTTACCAAAGAATTTGACAAAATTCTATTTAACAAATATTTTCAATTAGTTTTACAATCTTTTCAGCAGCTTTCTATGTAATTTTAACTAATAAGTAGTAGGAATTTAATGCTTTTGCGGCTAATGTGCTTTGTTTATCAGTCTTTAACAGCAAAATGGAGCTAAATACGGGACTTTCTCAAGTAGAGATAGTTGAAGGGAAGGAGTGACTTCCAGACAAAATCTAGATTTTCTCTCTCACCCGCCACTTCTCTAATATATAGGGTATATCCCTACGTGGAGTGAAAGTTTGGAGCATTCCGAAAATTTCAAGGAAGACTACCTACCAAACATTGGTTTTCGTGAGTAGGTACTTTCTGATAACCTATAATATAATATATACTAATGATAACCCCTTATGGGATGGGATGAAAGTTAAGATTTTGTCCATTCGCAGTTTTCAGGGTAGTAAGCTAAAAATCTGTACACGGACGCATTGACGTCAAGATGGGCTACTTTTTTGCCTTTTCCAAAACCCACTAATGGAAAGAAATAATTAAAATAATATTCTGCTTAGAGCACTCTAAGCAGAATATTATTTTAATTATTTCTTTCTTTCTTCTGAGAATACAAAGAAAGCCGTGGCAATTACAAAAGCAAAAGCCCAGGACAAACTATATGATACACTAGCTACTCTCGCGCGGTTTCACCCGCTGCTCGGCTCCATTTAATCTTAGCGTTTGTTGATGTTTTATAGCCTACAGCACTCAGGAATATTGTAGCTATCTATCAGTGAAAGAATTTTGGAAATCCGACCAGCGGTTCCAAAGAACACCCCCTACATACAAACTTACAAACATACAAACTTACAAACATACAAACTTACAAACATACAAACTTACAAATTTTATCTCTTTATAATATTAGTATAGATGAGACAGTCCTGCAGGCCAGAAAGAGCTGTACCGGCTCTCTAGAATGAGTGAAAAAAAGGCGAGGGATGTTTGCCAGGTAAGATGTGTAAGAGATGAAAGTGGAATGGTTCTATCGGATAATGACAGAATCAAAGAGAGGTGGAAGGAATATTTTGAAAGACTTATGAATGAGGAAAATAATTGGAGTGGGGTTTTAGAGAATAAACCAGTGAATGTGGGATTAGTGAGAATGGTTAGTATGGAGGAAGTCAGAGTAGCAGTGAATAAAATGAAAAATGGTAAAGCCATTGGCCCAGATAGAATACCAGTTGAGGTGTGGAAGTTATTAAGAGTTGACGGATGGGTGTGGTTGGCTTTGTTCTTCAATAAATTGGTGCAGGAAGAAGCCATATCGGACATTCAGGAAGAGGCTCCCCGGCTGTTTGCCGATGATATTGTGCTGGTTGCCGAGAGTGCCCTAGAGGTCCAGAGCAGATTGGAGGTGTGGTGGCAAAGACTGAAGAGTGTTGGCCTAAAATTGAGCAGAACTAAAACAGAGAGTCCTAAACTAAAGACGAGACGAGAACTAAAACGCCCATACCAACCTGTTCCGATTTTCGATAGCTTAGGTCGCTTATCCAATGGAATGGTGAGGTCACTGGAACAACTTGCGACCCACGGATGCCCCTCAGGTTGAAGGGTAAAATCTACAAGTCCGTGATAAGGCCTGTCCTACTGTATGGGTCAGAATGTTGGGCTCTGAAAAAGACGGATGAAAAGCGATTGCTTGTAGCATAGATGAGAATGTTGAGAGTTGAGATGGATGTGTGGTGTGACAAGAATGGATAAAGTGAGAAATGAGTATATGAGAGGAAGTTTGAAAGTGGCGCCAGTGACTGAAAAGTTGAAAGGGAACCGTTTGTCTTGGCATGGCCATGTAAAAAGGAGGGATGAAATGCATATTACAAAAAAAGCCATGAGTATAAATGTGGAAGGATGAAGAGGGAGAGGGAGACCAAAGAAAATATGGATGGATTGTGTGAGAAGTGATATGGAAGACAGAGGAGTTGTGACAGAACAGAATGGAAGAAAAAAACATATTGCGCCGACCCCAAATAAAATGGGACAAAGGCAGGAAGATATGAGAATGATGAGTGCTCTTCTGAGAGGAAGGCGCGTCCAAAAGCTAGTTATATGTATTTTAAAGTGTGAGAGAGCCATGCTTCGGCTCGAATGGACCTGTTAAGCCAAAGAGGCATGTTCAGCAAGTTCAGCAACGTTGCAACATTACTCCTTGTGCCTAATGTTGCATATATTTAGATACTGGTTTTTTGTGCACTGATCGTTTGTTTATCTAAACAGTATGTAGGAAAGAAAGGTTATAATAAAGTAGTAGAAAACCAGATATCATTTTGCGATTTTATTTAATTTATACACGTCTGTTGAAATATTCGCCTATTTACACAATGATAAATTTCTAGGGCAATTAAATAATAATATAAATGTTTGCGACAAATCTTTCTCTCATATTATTTAAACTTTTCAACCGCCACGTCAAAGAAATAGAGTGTACGAAATTATTTTCCTGTAATTATAACATACATGGCATACTGGGACATATGATTTGTCATCGTAAACTTGATTGTGGCGATCAAAATGTTAATACAATGCATTCTAACAGAACATGACAGCATTGCGAACTGTTACTATTTCAAAGGTCCTCTTCAAAATAATACTTTTTATTCATTTGAAATATTCATAATGATCATCTATCTATTGATAAAAATATCAATAAAACATCTATAAAGGAACTGGATAATATTAGCCATTACTGTCTCAACATCATTTATTTGCCTTCGGTATACAAATGGAATTGAATGTATAACAATAGGGCAATACAATTTTGAAATTGAGAAGTTGCAACACCTCGTTATTTCTGCTAAAACCCATTATTATAGTTCAGTAGTCACCTAAAGCCAAAGACCTAAAATACGTGTTGTGTACTCAAAACATTTAACGGAATTATGTGAAGTAGTTTAAATACAATATAAGTTCAGAAAGTAGATACAATGTATTCATTTTAGATTGTACTCAATTTTATAACGCCGTGTGATTTCTAATGGGATCGAATCGAGATACACACTTTGGTCAATAACTTAGATGCTTACTGAAATAAGGATACGCAACGAAACAATATTAAATAATCGCAACTAGATAAATGAATCTATAGACCACTTTACAAAGATAATGATGTCTAATGTTCTATAAATTAAAGTGAAATAATTAATTAATTTGCTTTTCAATAGTATGTCATAAACCTATGCCAATGGATCACTCCCTCTTAAAATAAAATTATCTATACCAAAATATTTACATCAACAAAATAGGAAAATCATATAACTACTTCACTTATTTACTTCATGTCATGTGAAAACTTAAATATACATCACGTAATTATCATAGCAACATATCAATCTTTTATTTAATATTATTATTATTTTTAACAGATAACATTGAAATATCACATGATGAAATGTTTCAACACAATAATGCATGAAAATGCCTAAATTAAATACCATCATAGCTTTATAAATAAAATATGTCTTCAATGTTACAATTACAATTATTTATTATATTAATAATCTTTCAAGGAACAAACAATAAAAGTGCAATTGAAAAGAACATCCAATAAACATGTTCATACAGGTTGATATAAAGAGTTGATGGAAAATATTGACAAACATTGTGAAAGACGATTTTACGGACATTGAGGCGTCAATTCGTCAGAAAAAATCACAGCTTCTGTTGGTGTCATAGAGGACTAATTTACCTACATGAGGGCATAATTATTGGGACAATTTAAGTACACCTAGTTATTTACTGAAAGGCACTAAGACCCTAATCTACAATAAAATTTCTGTACATGGTGTCGAATTTGAGTTTCATACTAATTTTATGTACTTACAGCGTTCAGGCAATATGTTGACGCACGACTAGCCAATATTTATGTACAATTAAATTAAAACCTAAATAGTACAGCCAGATATTTTTTTACGAATTTATGGAATAATACGCAAGATGCTAGATGAGCTCTTACTACATTAAATGCAATTTTTACTCATTGATATACTTATTTACATGACTAAATTAATATTACAAGAAAAACTCATTTGGAAAAATGTCAAGAGTGAAGACTGTTGATAGTTACCTACGAATTTTGCAATAATAAACAATAAATTCAAGTTAGTAAATGACTAAACAATTTTATTATTGCAGTTTCGATAACGTTCAGGCAATCCTCCCTGTAACACAATTATGCGACATACTAATAATACAGTCTATAACCTTGCAGCGTGAGAAAAAGGAATTTAAATAGATATAGTTTAGAGGCTACAAAAATATCAGAAAGTTATTTTAACCTCCTATACTACTTACAATAGTTATAACACAAAAAAGGATGTCTTGCAAGTTTGAGACTGAATTGTATGATTGACACTAGAGATATTTTCACAAACTTAAGTTAGCTACAAGAGAAATTCCTGAGAATAACAGATATTTTATACTTATTTAATATTTTCAACAACTTCAATAATTTTTACTACTTATTATAAGTACTTCTGTATTGAATATGGGTACATTTCGTTAAATTGGACTGTAGGACTTATCAGATGTCAGAAAATTTGTCATAGGTAGTCGTCATAGACCACAATTTAAAGGGCTTTAAAGCTAAATTAATTTAATGAATATAGTAATTATAAGTAATTACCTATTCGATTTTTTAATATTGTATGTTCTAATTAGTATCCACTTTGTTCAAGAAACTTTTACACAATTCGTCACATTTAGATATTCATGTAATTAAAATGCTGTAAGTAAAAAAACCTTAGTGAATGTGTCTATTAATCCACACTCAATACAGAAATCTCGTCAATTATTGAAATGTGATTTCAGAGCAAATTTTAGTCTGGCAATATAATACTATAATAACAATTGCTTAGTTTAATCCTTTTGGTGAGATTTAAAAAGAACATTAGATACATTAAAGACATTTTTGTTTAAAAAGTTTCTGATTAATTGGAGCTACTATTTTGCTCTGAAGTCTCACCCCAAAAACTTGAATTGCAGATAAAATCTTCACTAGTATAACATTTTGATGAATGATCATATTTGTAATAATATTATATACTTTTGATTGTCGTGATTATCTTTGAATCTGTAGATCAGTCATATCTATACATACAACTTATCTGCTACAAATTTGTACCAGGAACTCAGAGTTCTAAATATCGGCTTGATTAGCAATATAAGTTTGTCTGGATTTATAGATAAGCATTAAATATTATGTGTAGGTAGCCATATCCCCTTTTCCTTAGGCTGATTAGTTGAATTACGAACATTATCGGTTCAAGATTCACTCGGACATTAGCTTATATAGTGGGCATTCAAAATAGATAATAGATTCATAAAAATCGTTAGAATTATTCGTATTAAGGTACTTATAGATTGCTTTCGATCAAAACTTTGACTAAGAAAACAAACAAAATAAGAACATAAATCGAAACTTGTCATGAACCATAAGATTTAAAAACAACCTTATCCTTTGTTGGTGAGATTCAAAAAAATAAAGCAGATTCTAACATTGAAAATCAAAGATATTATTTGTCTTGTTATACTTCAAAAAAAGCTTATTAATAAAAAACTAAGAAACTTATAGTTTCTAACTCTAGGAGTGAATTATTGTTATAATATTGAATACCTAGTACACAATAGAGTACGGCTTAGGTACTATAATGACGACGATTTTTTATTTTGGATACAAGATTGCATATTTTCAAAGCAGGACCTAACTTTAAACCCATATATTTCATCATCATATCTGAATTTAGCAACAGTAATGCTTTTCCATCTATTTCCTGTAACAATACAAAAAAATAAATGAGTATATTGTTAACATATCTACACCAATACCGAAATTAAAATGTTTAATGATAACAACAAATCTGGGTGGTTTCCTTCTTTAAAAATAAATTAAATACTTAATAGTAAAATCACATCTTAATTCATTTATTTTAGAATATACTTTTATTCTTATTTTTAGTCATTTCAAGAGAAATAAGTATCCTATTTGACATAAAAAAATATGATTTGAAAAATATTGAATTTGAATAATTGGGAATTACCCTATTGCTAGTGTTTATTTTTCTGTTTGTTTCACGTCGCAATAGTTTTTTTTTTTTTTTTTTTTGTTAGGGGATGGTTAAGAGGTGTGAATATTTGGTTTCTTATTTGCCTGGAACCACTCGGCAGTTACCATGGCCGTAAATCTTATTACAACTATTTGTACAATTGTAAATGAACAATACCTGTAAAATGAAAAAAAAAAGAAAACAAAATTTCTAAGATGTTGGCACTTACATGTTTTCTAAATAAGTCAGCATGAGCGGCAAGGGCAGGATCGGCAGCTGCAATAAACCCGATGACGTCTTCGACAGACCAGTCGGCGGGTGGTGCAGCGGGCGAGGGCGGAGGCGGCGCCCCTGTCGTCGAGGACGCTGGCTCGGGTCGCTCCGGTGACACCCGAGCTAGCTTGCCGCTCGAGCACTCGCCAGACCCATTCACACTGCTTGCTGTACTTTCCTCCTATAAAAGATTGATAAAAGACAAATCAATTGCCTGCAAGTTAATTAAGGAAGTTTCATATCAATAAAGGTAAATTATTGTTGAAATTAATAAATGATATATAATTGTGTACCATTCATGCTTCATGGATATTTGAATATGAAATCTGAAACCACTATGCCTTGCAGTTTCACCTCTCTACATATTGTTATACTGTACTAGTAATTACATTGTAATAATTATTGCAGTAATTTATAGAGGAGGACATAGCAAACCTGCCTCCACTTGGATTGGGTGTAATGGTCATACTTATATTCTCTATTTAATCAATGTTATTATACATACAAACCTGCCACTTTATTCACTGACTATTATAATAAATCTCTTCAAAATCTCTTGCAGACAGAGAAAGTTAATTTATTTTATACTATACAGAGACAGGAATGTTATTTGCCCCTAAAAACTGAAAACAAATTGTATAAACAGACTACTCACATTATTAGGCCTCTTCACACCAGATGTAACATTATTATTAGATGTAGATTCTCCACAAAGGGTGCAAGGCCGACCAGCAGCCTCACCAGTGTCTATCTCTATCATTCCAATACAGCTGCCAACTCCACTGGTAACAGCTTTTAACCAATTTTTAAGCTCATCTATTGTTAGCTCTGATGGGACTTTCACTGAATAGTTTTTATTTCCTGATGAAACCTGTAAGTTGACAATATTTTTAATTCATTTATTAAACACAAAACTTGAAAACAAAAACAATAACATGAAATAGTTACAATTAAATCAAATAAAATTGTAGACTATAATAAATTACCTGAACATTACTTATATTAGAATAGCTACTAGATGCTGTGAGTATTGCCCTAGTCAACCTTTGAGGGTCAGGGTGGACACTGAGCAATTCTTTAACCAAGGCTTCAGCAGCACCAGATGGACCAGTCCCTAACACAGAAGTTGGTAAAGAGCTGCTACCACCAGTGCAACTACTGCGGATTCGGAGGCACACTGTGGCTACTGGTGTAGGGGTTACTGAAGTGTTTGAGTTCCCAGCTCCTGTAGATCCGCCTTCTGGTAAAGCCGGATTAGGCATACCATTAGGCCTTAGCTTGAATCTGTAACATTCACCATATACTGAATGTGTAACATTGTACTTGATGCTAGTTTACAAGTAACATGACATAAATAAACATAATGAGTAAAAAGACAAATAAAAAGTTATGGTAGGCATAATATTTCAATAGCAAATATGCAAAAAGAAACTCAAGGCTTGTGATGACTAATCACATTTTGTAGAACAAATTCACAATCAAATTAAACATGATAGTGCAATATAAAATGCATCTATCAAGTTTCATTAAAAAACCTGCAAGGAATCTCACATTTCATGTTTATGTAAAAATATTCTTTACATCCATTAGTAAGCAGTATAACTGTTACACAAAATAGCTTTCAGTAGCCAACAAAAATTATTTTAGGAATATTTTTGTTTTTTTTTTCATTATGTACTTAGTCAAAAACAAGTTTTTAATGCAACAGAGGCAAGCATTCTTCTTAAACATGTAAGAATTCTGTAAGCACCCATAATTTAGTTGTTGTTATATAACAAGAGTATGAATTACCTTGATGGAGTGGTAGCACTTTTCTGACCAGGAGGTTGTAAAGGGTGTCCAGCCCTAGCACACCAACCAACTGGAAATATGTCTCTTGAATCATACCTACACCAGTAATCAAATGCACCTCTCCACCCATCAAATGTTACATGAATCTGATCATTTTTCACTGCACCAACAGTGGCACAACAAATTAATTGTGGATTTTTCTTATCTACTGCCTCTAGTTTTTGCCCAACTACAAACACGTTTGACTTAGGCGTTGGAGGTTCAGGTTGAAAAACTTTGGCTGGAGCCATTTCAGCACCATTTAAAGTTTTAAGTAAAAACATAGGCCAACTACTAGCATTCATCCGAAACCCTAATGGTGGCTGTAACATGCCATCATTTCTTTCACAATGACCAATGGGGTGAATGTCTCCTGCATCAACTAAACGCCAAAAATCATTCTTATTGTCACTTCCATCAAGCCTCAGCCTTAATCGAGGGCCAAGTACTCCAACAACAGTCGCAATACAGGTTGACGTCAAATTTCGGGGGTCTAGAGCTTCTAATTTCATTCCAACTTTGAAATCATTTACAGGGGGCATTGGTGCCTGTTTAAAACATTCTTGAGAGGCTGCTACACTATTAGTATCTTTCATGTATTCATTCCAATCAAAAGCTTGGTAAATGTCATAAAAAGAACCTGTAGAATTATTATTTGCATGATTTTCTGATCCATTAGCCCCATTGCCAGATTGTGGTGATGAAGTGCGCTTCTCGTTTTTCTTTTGATACTTGTTTAAACAATAAGTAGAACAAAAATTCTTGCTACTTGAAGGTGCATTACCGCGAATAACATTATCACAATGAAGACAGGCGCCTTTGCTATATGCCTGTCTGAATTCAGACAAACACGTTTCCGAACAAAATTCTTTTTTCCCGTTCTCGGTCGGCAGAACATATTTTAATGGTGTTTTACTTTCAGCACACCAGGTGCATGTACGTTTTGGAGGTCTTCCAGGTCCACGTATTTTGCCGGGAGCTGGCCCGGATGAGCCGACAGTGTTGTTTGACATCGTTCCGTATGTAGATTTTAATACATTATATTATTCGAACTCTTAGTACACAAAACAATCAATTTACATTATACTTCACACTCACACGGAATCACAATATTACAATTATTAAATTAGTTATAATTGCACAAATATAAACAACGTCAGTGCGTATTTATGACGCGCTTCCAACGGCCATCTTTGTTCTTTTTATTTGTTTTTTTTTTCTGGCGAAGGAATGGCAACTTGCTTTCTGGCAACATGTAAATTAATAAAATATTTTATGAAAGTTTTGTAGCCATATAATTTTTTTTATTAATCAGTTTTAAGTCTATAAAACGTTAACTAAGGTACTTCATTAAACAAATTACTAAACTGAGACTCATTATTAAGTTGAGAGTTTTTAATTTTTCTAAGCTATACAAAATGAAATAGACAAATTAAAATCACTATACAACATGTTGCATATTTAAAATACTACCCACAATAACACAAACAAAACAAAACAATACCCACACGATATTAAGAGTAAATTACACTGTTTTTTCTCTTACAAAATGTAGAAAATTATGTGACAGACAGTTTTAAGCAAAACTATTTTTACCATTCAATGTTTTTTTATAAAAAACTACCATATCCAAGTCTAAGTAAAAAATGTTAGGACTAAGGCAGCAAGCCTTAAAATGTACTAAGTATCGGTCAATAACTGGCCAACAATAGTTATAAATACCAATCTTGTAGATTCAAAAGTACATTAATACGTCATGTAAACAAATTAATAATTTCATTACCTAATTTTGTTTGACTCATGATGTTAATTTACATAATATATTTTGGAGGCTTAAGATTATTACAAAGAATTTTTTTTAATCGCCCTTTTTAATTCTATGTATTATGAACTGCGCCTTACCTAAGTTTCCTTTTATTTGTCATTTCTCTCTTGCTATAAGCTGTAACGCTTCTTATAGGTAGTTTATTATGATTATACAATAATAATACTATTATTTTGTTGTTTCTGTCTCCAGCGTGAGTTATTTTTTTACATCCAATCATCTGATTCAGATCAGATACCCTCTCTTTCATTAAAAACCTATGACACCCCACAGAGTATATTGTGTCACCCCAAGGAGTTGTCAATTATGACAGCTGTATCATCACATCATCAGCATTGATTGCAGAGCGCGGCAGTGATGCCAACTTGAAATTGACTCCCAAATTATAGGGAGATAATTTTCTAATTTAAATAAAAAACAACGATTAGTCCTCTTTCAAGCACATTTTAGACTTTGTATTTTTCAACATAATATTTTGACTATGAAGTTTATATACAGGAATACTACGGTTTCATCATCATATCAGATTTTTTATTACTGATCATAAAGGTGCTAAATTTAATTAGAATTCGTTAGTAACTTTCCAGTATACCCAGTATTTCCAGTTATATCGAAAAATTAAGTCTTTTTTTAGTTTGGTTAACAAACTCCTATAGTCAGAATTTTAATTCGATTCCTGATTTGACATGACCTACTGTCATTTTGTGAAATAATGATACCACATATAACAGTGTAGTGATGAGCACAAAAATCGATAAACAATCAGTGAATTAGTTTCAGGAAGGCATTCAAAAAATTACGGCTACCGAATGGTCTAAATGCGTATCCCATGTTGTCAAAGGAGAGGAAAAAATGAGTAAGCGAGATATGTCAATTGACAATAAAAATCACAGACACAATTCATAATAAATGTTACAGAAAGTAACAGCGATAGCAATAGCGATGACGGCAACAGTTTATAAAATTTCTGTTTTATTTGTCATGTTCCTTCATGATCACATTTTTTATTAATTTCACACACAATTACAAAAGAAAAGTCTCAGATCGTTAATTAATTGTTAAAACTAAATTATCGGTTCAGAAATATTTTATTTCCTGATAAACTTAGTTTAGGAGAGTAAATTTATGAATGAGAGGAATCGATTCAGAAATATTGGATTACCACATCGAATAATTTCGCAACGTCACTATTTATTACGTGTCATAACGTTGCAACACTGAAATTGACAAATCTGGAATGGAATTAAAATTCCGAGTACCTAATGTTTTATCTGAAAGTCTAAGTCTTAGGCAAAAATATTTTTGAGAGCGGGTATCACTGAGTGGGATTAACCTAACCTATAAAATATAAAATCAGGTTAGAAAAATAAACTTTTGATGATTTGTACGTTATTGAAAAGAACTATGTCTCAAAGCATTGGTAATAGAATTCTTAATAATGCTGAAATAGCTGAAAAGAAACTAGCAGAACTAAGAACAAAGGTAATATGGTACAATCAACAAACTGCAACCTTTATTTTTGCTATTTAAGTTTTGTTGGAGAAACACAGAACAATACATTTGTTTTACTTTTATTTTAGCTAGACGAAGTTAAGAGAATCAAGATCGAGGCAAAAATAAAGGCACTTACAGAGGAGAACAAAGATTTAGTGGCCAAAGTGGAATCTGCTAAAGCTAATTTAATAAGATTGGAAACGCTGAATGGCAAGAAGCAATACTCAATACCGGGGAAAGAGTCAATACCACCTGTTGAAAGTGTCAAAACAGAGGATGCTCCAATTAAATCTGAAAAACAAGCAGCTCCTAAGAAGGTAAAGGATGCTGTTAAAAAGCCCAAGGAGAAATCAGAGCCGGCTAGTGATTCCGTCATGGATGTTAGAAAGTTAGATTTCAGAATTGGAAAAATAATTGATGTGAACAAACATCCTGATGCTGACTCTCTGTATGTAGAGAAAATTGATTGTGGAGAGGAAAAACCTCGAACTGTGGTGTCAGGTCTTGTAAATCATGTACCATTAGAAGAAATGCGTGACAGGATTGTCATGATATTAGCTAACTTAAAACCAGTAAAGGTAAGGTAATCAAATGTTGCATTTTAAAATTTGTGTTTGGGCCAGTGGGTAGCCTTAGAGGTGGATTTTTGTAAATGCTGATAAATTATTTCTTTTATTTTAGATGAGGGGAGTAACTTCAGAAGCAATGGTAATGTGTGCCTCGTCCCCTGATAAAGTTGAAATTCTTATACCACCCCAAGGAGCAGCACCTGGTGATTTGGTGGAATGTGAAGGTTACCCTCGTGAGCCAGAAGCTATACTTAATCCTAAGAAAAAAATATTTGAAACATGTGCACCAGACCTCCTAACAAATGATGACAAAGTTGCATGCTATAAAGGAGCTCCTTTAGTTGTCCCTGGTAAAGGAGCAATAGTAGCACCAACATTGAAAGGAGTTAGTGTTAAATAAAAGTTTGAATACTTACTACTATTGTAAAAAAAAATGCAAGATTTTAATGGCCATAGTTTTATGATATTTCTCTGCCAAGCATTTTGGATTTGCCCAAGTTTTTTATTTTTATCTTTAACTTCAGACTAGATATTGTAAATCGAAATTGTATGACCACTTGGTTTTACCTCTTTTAATATAATTATAAATATTAGTACCTTTTTGTTGTTATGTGATCAGTTGGCGATAAAACAGTTTTTTTTTTAAATTATTTAGAGTTACAAAACTAAATATGTATTAAAAGTGAGTTTTAAATACACTTTGTTACACCCTAAGTTATGTGTGTTTAATTATAAATCAAAATAATTCGCATGAAGATGCTCTATTATTTCTATGGTTTAATCGTAGCATAAAACATGAAACTAGTGGAATTCTCACTACATAAACAAATTCGATTTTCATATAAAATAGAATGTGATAAATGAAACAACACCATAAGCAATATCAACAATATTTATATTACATCTCTATGTGATTTCTATACAACAATTTGCTGTCATTATTTACTATGTAGAAATTTAATTTCTAATTTCAGATAGAAAAATAGATGTGACATAACATTAACATCAAGACCACAAAAACTCCACTCTTAAATCTTTATGCTAATGGGGCAAATGGAAAGTATTAATTCTCTCATTTTCTATTCAATTCCTTGATTTGTGGTCTTGTTAGGATAATTTCTATATTAGCGTTAGTTAGTTTCAACATGTGTATGCTACATTCTGAAGTGTCCTTGGAAAACTATCTATGTTACTTCAACATCAACATATTTATTATGAGTCGTTAGGAAAATATTTCTTTATAATTAATTAACAAATGTGCAGGCAAGCTCGGTTCCAAGTGAATAATCATTTATCTATTACAATATGTTTAATTAATATTATTATCTTATGTTAGTAATATTAAGTACTTAGTAGATGGATATAAAATAAATTATAGAAAATAGATGCAATAGTTTGTAACAAAACTAGGGGTTAAATGGTCAATGAACCTAAATAATTTGGCTTGTAGTTCCATTACTGTTGATTAGTGTTGATATATTTACATATATTATATCTAATCGATTTTGCTTTCTAAAAGAGTTACTATCGACAAGTTAAAATAACAATTCAATCTTGAAATAATGAATCCGAGCTATATGCCAATTGAAAATATAATTGATTCTTACACACATAGGCAGTACAGGATGTTTAATTTAAGATATCAGAAGCTTATTACTGGCCACAAAAGTATATGACCAAAGCTAGGCAACTACTTATATGAAGAAATATCTCATAAGTGCTTGACATTATTAGAAAGTTTTATTTTGAAGTGCCAAACTTTTAAGCATACCTGAACGTCAGTACATTGTACCATGATAAACTACGTTTTACAATTAAGTTTATTATAAAGTAGAGCCAATCCTTTGTGCGATATGATCGGAATATACGTATATTACTTATGTACTCTCCCACCATATAAATACATGCTCAATAACAATTTTACATTTTCATTAAGTTAGACAAAATATTTTTTATTACCGTATCAGATTTACCTCAACTTTAACAATTCAATTGTGTTAATATAGATTTTTATGAGAAGTCTAGTATTTCAAGTTTGTACTTTTATGTGAGAAAGTATCCAAATGGGTACATTACCGTACCGATTTCTATTATAATTTTTATTTTTGTACGTCACGTACGTTGGGCGTGCGAGATAATATAATTTACGTATGTGTAGGTACTACATCGTATTTTTAACGACTACTGATCCCAAATATATTTGTCTTAGTTAACAAAATAATGCTAGATTGGAGCCGAAAATCCATATGGATAGCATTTACGAGAGTTCCATACGATAAGACGTATGTAGGTCTTTTTTAAACTTTTCAAGCTTTTGTATAAATAAAATGAAACATTTCTTTCAATTGACTAGTACAACACTACTCATGTCACATGCGTAAAATTTTATGTAACATTATTAATTTCTTCTAAAAATAATAAATTGGTTTGATCCAACAAGAATGTTGCAAATTATTATTTCTAAATGGAAAACGTTCAGAGAACTAAGAGTCAGAGATTAATGTATTTTTTTTTTTTGATGCTACCTTAAGAATAGATCACGACATAGCTTTAATTCATACTGCACCCATTTTACATGCACATTTTGAGTAGTATCCAGATATGTTTGATGCCAATTGTCAGAACGTATGTTATAAATTCTTAAAATCTTAATTTTAATATACTTATTTAGTTTTATATATTTTATTCAATATCAATTCCTTCAGTTGATAAAACTGTGGTAAAAGAATTACATACAATTTTGGTAAAACATGACAAGGTACAAACAGCAACACTGAGCAATCGTAATATTCATCATAACCAAATAATTTGGTACCCAATTGTTATTTACGTAAACGGTTTGAAAATATTTCGAACTGATTTTGGTAAATACTAAAACTACAAGTGTTGCAATGTACTTTAAATATTATGCTAAATACATCTTAGTGTTCTATTATAAAGATAAAACTACACAATCTAAGTTCTTTCAAGATTTTTTCTATGTTAGATTAAAATGTTAAGAATAAAATCTCCCTAATCTTTGGTAGATGACCAACCACCATAGTATTACATAATATATTATAAACTTTTTAATATGTGTAATAAAAAATAAAAATATTTATAAAAATATATGGATGTAGATGACAGCCATCTTAGACTGGAAACGACACATACATGTACATATAAGTAGATATAAGTAGCTACGAAGATACTTACATGCAAATAATATTATTAAAGATAGAATAGTGGGGGTGGTTTTCCGAAAAAACTTAACATTTATTTAACAAATCATTATCCTCCCGAGTTGTAATTTCAAACATTAACTTTTTATTGGGTTTAATGTTACAAAATCATTGATTGAGTTTTCATTCCAGATGTGTTTACTTTGAGTTTTTGGATAATGACATTATTAATTATTGTTAATTTTATGTAAAGAATCACACATTGTATAATTATCTTACATTGGTAGTTATTATTTAATAGTTTGGCATTGGGTATTCATTCACTGATCAATCTACAATAAATCAATAAAAGAAATTCCTTTAAGTATAGAGACGGTCAGCATACCACATATTAATTTAAAATTCGAATTTAAAATAAAAACAATAAAAATTGACAGAACAACTGAATTGTTATTGATTCGGGATTGCTTTCCATATTACATTTAAAAATAGAATGTTCGTATACAGGTCACATTTTCAGTATCCAGTTAAATATAAATTAAAGCGATTTTAAGTCAAGTAGAATCCATAATAAATAGGAAGTAAAGCATAGGGGAATGGCACAGTTAATTTGGGGCGATTACAATAAAATGAAGTTACAAAGTATAAATTACTAGCTACATACTTAACTTTACACTCTTTTAACGCAAGTAACAACATAATAATTGTATAATAATATAATTACTTATTCTAAAATACTAGGTGACACTACAAAGTACTAGAACTAGAGTGTGGGTAATTGAAAATGAATTATGCTTTAAGTTAGGCCTTACTGATATGAAATGATTACGAGTATAACACCACCCTTACATAAATTAATAAAAATAAATTACTTTTGTTCGACATTATCTTTTAAAATTGTTCAATAGAAAACACTTTCAAAATGGCAAGGTGATGAAATACAGATATGATGAATGAATTAAGACGACACGACAATGGACTAACATTAATTCCAACAAAAATATAAAAGTTTCATAGAATTATTTTTATTGATTTATAATATAATCGTGTATGCAAGAGGTCTACAAAATATTTCATTAAAGTTTCTCTGGCTGTGAGAACTTGGAAGTAAACCGTGTTGTCGCTGTCTTTTTACGTTTTAAATTCACATAAATACATCATTTAATTTCTACACTTAAATCGTATGATACTGTCTTATAAAAATATAAACAACTTTCTGTTATAGGTAAGAACAACATCAAAATAAAATAGGCTAAAGACGCTAATGACTATGAGTATCTAAAGAATTATTATGAAAAATACTTATACAACATGATGCACCATACAAATGAATAGTATAATGTAGTAGCTAATATGTTTAATGAAGTTTACAAATATAATATTGCACATAGAGCAATGAGACCTAAATGGCACAGAGAAGTATAAAATAAATTATATGCAATGCAACGAGACTTAATAGCTTGATGAAGGAAAAATCACTACATACATAGAATTAAAGTTGGGGCTAAGATAAACAATTATAAGATAAACACAGGTTTGATCAGATTTCTACATTCTTTTTCATACAGCGAAATAAATAAATAATATATTTTTTTCAACAAAGTTTTCGCCGCTATACAGGTGGGGCAAGCAAAATCTTCTATATACCCGCCATCTACAATAAATACTTTGCAGGAAGACGACTTTCATTGGTCATGACTGTAAAGCTCTTTAACGCACATTGGTTTTAAATGCAGCTGATTCGACGTTTAATAATATAATAATCATTTATCGTACAATACACCTAATAGAAAAATATCGCTCATAAAAGAAAATATAGGATTATATTATCCACAACACCAACTAAACTAATTGTGACATTATATGGAATGTCTTAACTATAAATGATCTTGCCGTCGATGACAATGCAACAATGAAATAAAATAAAATACTCTTTTACAATCACATTCGTTTATCTGCATAATACTAGCAGTCACAAAAGCAGTCAAAACAAAATTAACTGTGCAGACGGTTAATACTTAATTACTTTCGATTTAATATTATCTGATTTTGGCGTGATTGAGTCTTATAATGTTTTATAGACTCCCAAAACCGATCATTGCGATCCTCTGTAGTTGCTTGTGCTTCATAACATGTACTTACATTATCATTCGTAATGTACCCAGTATTGATTTCTTGATATTCACCATTTGTTTGAGGGTTTATTTTAAAGTTGTGTCGGTGGGAAACGTCGTTGTGGTTTACTACGACGCTGCGCGAGAGTCGATTGTGACACTGGACCCAGGACTTGAGGTGTCAGCGGAGAAGCTGTCATTGCCTACAAAGAGAACATAACCAAATATGTTTTTGTTGTTTGAATACTTACTATCGGGATACATAGTAAATTAACTAAAAAATCTCAACTGGTTTTAAGTCACCATGAGACTCAAGCTGCGCGAGGTCTCCGCGATGTGTAGTTAAATCACGTGATTATGTTGTTATACATACTTTTAATATTATAAAGCTGAAGAGTTTGTCTGTAGTTTGTAGTAGTAAGTTAGAATTGAAACATTTTTTGGGGCAGTAGCTAGTTTTCTAAGTGAACTCATGATAGTTATTAGACAAAATAGTATTAGAGAAGTAACAAACCTGGAAGGTAAGATCGACAGCTCGCCGCAGGTCGCTGGGCGGGTCTGTGTCGGGGGCGGGGTGGGCGGCGGGCTGCGGGGGATGTGGCGCGGCGATCCAGGGCTCGCGGACCAGCTCCGCGGCGCGCGGTCTCTGCGCCGGCTCCAGCTGCAGCATGCGCCGTACGCAGCCGCGCGCCTCCGCTGACACGTGGCGCCATACACCCGACGATAGCTCCACCTTACACATTATATACCACACCGGTTTCAATAACATAACTTATCTTATTTTTGCAATTCAAAGAAAAATCTATTATTTTGAATTAAATTATTTTTAGTAGTACCAATAAATAGTATTACACAAAATATTTGCATGGTGCATGTTAAAACACCATGCAATAAAACCACATATGTAATGTTTAGATGTAAGAACCAATGTAACAGCTACTGCTATTGTCAATACGAATCGTATAAATAAATTAATAAACATATTATTATGAATTTACAATTCCGAGCCGTTACTTGGAGATAGAATTTTATGATACAAGCTTCTCACAATAGACCTGTGTTAACCAGATAAACTGGTTAACAAATCAACAGCCGAGGATTTCAAGTACTCGGTATCGAAGCCACGATTCAGCTATTAAAAAATTCAATCTTAAGTGTGGGAGAGTCATGTTTCGGATGACGAATGGGTCGGCTCGGCCGCAGTGATACCACGGCCTCGCAGAAAACCGGCGTAAAACAACCACAGCGTTGTGTTTCGCAGTGTGAGTGAGGTTACCGGAAGCTCAGTCCTTCTCCTCCCCCAATCCCTAAATCTCCAAATCGCTAATCCCTAAAAGGTCAGCAACGCACTCGTAACTTCTCTGTTGGGTGTCCATGGGCGGCGCTTATTGCTTACCATCAGGTAACTCGGATGCACGTTAGGCAGCCTATTACATAAAAAAAATACCAAATGGTGAAGTTGGGTAGGTAAAAAGTACTAAATGAAAAGTACAAAATATCAAGACCAAAAAATACCATACAGACAGTTATTGAGGAAGCCAGCTTTGTATTTTAAGAATATATCCAATTTTAGCCGAACTGTGGGAGATTTTTAGTAATTCATATTTGTTATAAAAATATAAAAATAATCAAAATTTAATAAAAAAATAAAACAAATAATAAAAATTCAGTTAAAACTTACAATTAAAACCGAAAACAAATTGACAAAAAGAAACGCCCCCGGGTGGGCTCGAACCACCAACCTTTCGGTTAACAGCCGAACGCGCTAGCCAATTGCGCCACGGAGGCGATGGTGGGGCAATCGAAATAGTGGGCCTGTATCTACCCATAGTAAACACAATATTAGCAATACTATTGTTATTCACTTTGTAACTGTTGTTATTCACTCTAACTACATTGAAATGAGTCAACGAGGTAAAAATATAGTTGGTCGAATAAAATTAATGCTAAATCTAATTTCACTGTTTTTTTATAATAACAGAAAATACTTACACAACATTAATTTGCAGTATCAATTATTCTATCAAATAAATTTTTGACGGATTTCTGTAACTCACCTTTCCGGATTCGATTCTTGCTAAAATCGCTTCAGGGGTATCATCTCCAGTCGAAGCAAACGGTGTCCTACCAGACAGCATTATATAAGCTAGCACACCTGTAATACATTATATCATTTCATAAATTTCATAGGTCATACTATATGTTAAAAACATGTCCCTATCAAAAATGTTCCTTACACCATTGAAATAGGGTTGAATTTACCACTACAACAAACTGCACAAACTTTAGAATTAACAATTGGACCTTGGTATGTTTCTAAACAATTTCACACGAGACTGACATGCATTTCCATTAATTACTCTATGATAACCTTCGAACTTGGGTCACTACCAATTATAACTTTGTAGATAATTATGATAAAAAGGTTAAACATTGAACTAATTCCAAACACGAGATAATTAGTCATTATGCTCTATTCAATACAATTTATAATGTAGATGAGCCACATTGGAAGACAGTCTTAAGTATTAGAAAAAGTTTATTGGATTATAACCTTAATAAAATAAGATTTAAGATACATATTTGAATAGCATACCTAAACTCCATATATCACAAGCGGCATCATAACCAGCACGTTTTAGCACCTCGGGAGCAACGAAATTAGCAGTATAACATGGCGTCATAAGTAGGCCGTTCTCAGCGCGCAACTGTTTCGCCAAACCAAAGTCTACGAGACGAATGTCCTCAGGCCTTTTCTCTGCAGTTGCGAACAATATGTTCGAAGGTTTTATGTCTCTGGAAAATTTAAAATTGAGTATTAGCGTTAACTATAGTGTACAGATACCTATCTATAATTTATAAGAAAACAAAATGATAAACAAGAATGCCTCCTATCCAAAGGGTTGAAAAGTAAGACTTCACTGCAAAGTATAAAACAAAGTCCCTTTTCTGTAAGGACACATATTATTGATACGTTTAGTAAATAGAGTGATAAGAGGAAGATTTATATAAATAATTACGATTCTTTTAATCACAATATCAGCTTTGTACCCGGGCGAAGCCGGGCCGGTTCGCTATTTTTTTAACAAGTTATTGTCGATACTCGTAAATTTTACGTTGGATATGTTGGTCGTATCCGAAGTATCAAGCCTAGGACGATGTATAATTTCTTTTTAATAATTTTTCAGGCAACATCAGGATTTCTGTGGTAATATTATGTTATATTATACGTTTTCTCTAGTATTATATGGTATATTTAGTTACCATATTGCCTTAAAAATAAGTACCTAACTGACTTATTGCTTTCATTAGTGAAGTGGTGGACCAAGGACGAAAAATCGAATTACTAATATTATCTGACCTAGCGTTCACCCTAAAACAATGCTCTTTATTAGCACATGAGAGCATTTAATCAACAAGGCAATCAATCAATGTCGCATCACTTCATAATACGTCCTCAAAATTAGCCGTTGACCTTGGGATATTTAGTCATTTACCATTCACATTATCTCTAAACGATAATCAGTTTATCACAATACATAATTCTCATGGATGGCCCCATCGATTGGAAGATGATGAGCGATAGCACAGCATACTTTGATGTATTTATACCTTAACAAAAACCATAGCGGTCCACTCCAGAGCAGTATTTGCTCTCAACAGTTATCTGTTGGCAGTGAATTATGAATGTAACTTCAACGCTAGGTAGGCCAACTATAAAGATTATTCTACTTAACCAATATTGCTAAGGGTCCTAAAAAAGAGAACCTTTAAATGAGGTTTGTTCACTGATAATGAGAAATTGTTTTTTGAATAATAACTATCGTGAGACATACTACATTTTATTGAAAATAAGTCAGTCAAGTATAAGTCAGTAAAATGAGTGAATGATGTAAAATGACTCTACTAATATCAAGTTACAATGGGACTCTTATCCACGAGCAGCGTGCGCATCGCGACGACGAAGTTGCCCAGCCGACTGCCTTGAATCTAGTAGAGCTTTTCTCCCTTAATTTACGTTAGTAAGTCGTAATTGTCAATAAATGAGAAATTGAGACTTTAAAAACCTTACCTATGCACGACGGTATGTCTATGAAGATAGTGTATAGCGTGAAGAACATTTCTCAGTATGGGCGCGGCCTCATGTTCGGGCAAGTAGCGACGCTGTGTAATGTGCTCGAGTAGTTCCCCGCCGCGGCAGAGCTCAGTCACTGCAAGGATCCGACCACCTTCCTCGTAGACACCGCGCAGAGTTATTATGTGAGGGTGTTGGCTATATCTGTAGGCAATGATAGATTGGTAATTATTTATTTTATATGTTATTAATTTGATTTGTTTGTTAATAGAACGAAGATCAGGCAGAAGCGAGCGCAGAGCGCATTGACAATATTGACCATTTTAAACTGCGTTCTCCAACCTGCCGCCAAGTAAGCAGATTATAGGAAACTTCTCTTATCCTACAATTTAGCAATAGACTACCTTAAGGACTAAAGATGAGTGTGTAAGATCAAAAGTGTACGGTGAAACGGTTTGCACATATAGGTATATGTATCTATCGACTCATATAAAATTAAGTCTCTTTGCTTGCTTCTTGCACCGACCATTGGCCCATCTCTGCATCACCCAAGGCTGGACTGGTAGAAAATGCCAAAGACATTAGGTCCGCCTATGTACCCATTGTGCACGAAGTTTAAATAAAAAAATGTAGCTATTTTTTTGTTGCAGGAGGTCAAGTGAGTTGGTAAGCAATCGACAACGTTTCAATTCAATCCATAACAACGACTTTAACGAATATGTTGCCAGCCTTTTGGAAGTTTGGGGTTTAAGGATTGTAGATAAGAAAGTATTGATAATAATCTTACTTCTGTATAAAACAGAAGAGATAAAATAAGTATGCCTGTTAGACTAAATGTTAAACTATCGCTACCTGGAATAAAATCTAGTGATGGGCAACTCGAGTTATCTAACTCGGGCAACTCGAGTCAGACCGTGAGCGAGTCAGCCCGAGTTAATATTTCTGCAACTCGGGTTGAATCGAAGAGCGCGCGGCGAACAAATGACAGAGTTTTAACACAAAAGATTAGATATTTGTTTTGTTTACGTTTTTTTTATTACTACTTAGTTCGTAATTTATTGTTTTGTTGCGGTATTATTAGTTTATTAAGTTTTGTTTGTCTGATTAATAACTTTAGAATGGCTCCGGGAAACAGGAAAAGTGTGGCGTGGGAGTTTTTTTCGAAAATAGACAATAATACTAAAGTACAATGCAATTTGTGTTCTAGTCAATACAAATTTAGTGGAAATATGAGTACCTTAGTGAACCACCTAAGAAAAACACATTATACAATATAGTGAAGCTGTTGGCCCAATCTTACAACTTTCAATAACATTAAAGTCTGACAAACTTATTTTATTTGACTATCATTAGCATGGACTCGACCCCACACAGCCCGTCGGGCTCGACAAGCAAACTAGCAACCCGCAGAACGATGCACCGAGTCGAGCGTTTACTGACTCGAACGGACAACCCGGACAACGCGACGTATCTTATGGCAGATCGGGTCGAGTCAACTCGAGTTGCAGCCCGAGTTGGTTATCAGGTCAACTCGAGTTACTCGAGTTATCAAAAAGACGACTCGGCCCATCAGTAATAAAATCAGCAATAAAAATTCTTAATTATAATGCTTATGACCAGGAGGCGAATATAGTAAACAATAGTAGGTACTGCAAATAAAATGTATGCAAATACGTGTCTTTATTGATTAGTGTTTGAACATTGACTTGATATTGCACGATCGTATGGCTTCTACGACCGCGAAGTTTGAGCCGTAGGCCATTAGATTATGTTTTATAGGCAGAACATTTTGTTGCAATATTTACTAGAACGTCAACGGTTATGGATAAAAGGAATTCTATGTCAGACATATTATGGTTTACTTTTCTTTAATCAATTCTCAGCTTCTAGGACAGCTTTGTATAACGCGCTTAGTTTGTAAATTAACATATCAGCAGGTTTTAACAGTTGTATGTATAAGCTTATTGACATTTATGTATTTTAAATTGATACATATGATAATAGTTCACGATAAAAACAATGTGACTCATCATCATCAACAGACTATAAGAGCCCACTGCGTAGCAAAGGTCTCTTCTCACATGGAGAAGATTTAAGCATTAACTACCACGCTAGCTTTAAGGGGATTGGTGATTTCATAATTAGAAATTACAACTCCAAGTTTCCTAACGATGTCACCTTTGTCCTTCAACTTTTTTCAGTGGTGTCTCTTATACATTTAGAAAACACATATACCTATATCTTAGAACAAGTCATGTTGGCACTGGCCAGGTTATGAACTCGTACATAAGTTTACATCGTACATAAGTGTACAATAATTTTGTTTGACGTTCAAAAGTGCCTGTAAAGGTCTAATTGGAATAAATGATTTTTGACTTTTTTTTAAGAAGCGGGGTGCCTTATTTTTGGCCACCACTACATAAAGTGCATTCGTTGAATGCAAAAAGTAAGAACAACTTCAGTGGCGCGTTATTCAAAAGACCTATTTGGTAGCGAATAGAAAACGATAACTGTGATAATAAAAAAATTTTGGACATACCTCAATAATATTTCAATTTCTTCACGAGGATCATACTGCAGTTTGTCCATAATCTTAACAGCATATTGCACCCTTGAGGTTTTGTGTTCACAGAGGCGAACGACTGAAAACGAGCCTGTGCCTAACTCTCCCATCAATCTGAAATATAGCATTTTTTTTAAATCAAATGTTTTCCTTATGACCTACTTTAATTTAGCCTTCAATTTTGGTAATTCGAAGTCGCAGGCGTTCGGTTGGGGTATGATGAATTAAATCAGTATTAGAAAGATGTGGCAGCTTGGGACTATCCTATGGAGACAATTTTCTACATGCCAGTTTTATAGTAAACGATGACCAATGTTTATTACATTCATTCAATATTACAACTGGGTTTTCTATAGGTCAAAAATAAATTATATCTACTTTTCAATACAATGAAATATAACAACATAAACATACTTTAATTAATTAATTTGAGACTTTTTCTAACATTTTTTTCAGAAGTTGATGAACTGCTTGACGCACACATATTACTATGATGACATCATTATGTTGGTATTTCATACAAAATTCACAGAAAAGTTTCGATGTTATTTGAATAAAGAAACTAATTTAGATGACAAATAACGTATTATAGCGTGTCACCTCTAAATAGTTTGATGTTCCGATCATAATTATAGGCAACAATACAAATCGAAAAACATGTTAATACATTCAAGACTAACTATGGACGGTGTTAGATAACATTATAAATAATTGTACCAATATGGTTTATTATTACACATACCTATCATAGCAGGGATTGGATCATGTTTATACGTATGTAGGTTACAATAAGATAATATAATGTAGGTACCTAATCACCAGGTACCTTATTGGTAGTTATATTTATAACTTATAATTTTTCCTGTTTGATTGATGATATAATTAACAAATTTACCCACCTGTATTCGTCAAAGAAATTATTCCTATTGACGAAACCTGCCCAAAATTCTTCAGTAGACGTTTTATTATTCGTAGGAACATGATTTTGATTTTGATTCGTAACCGTCTTGTTATCATCGTTGAGTAAACAAGGCGCGACGAAACTGAAACCGCTGAAAATATACACAAAAACGATTTTATTGTATTTGTTTTGTGCGAAGGTTAAGTGACAAGTACCTTTTATCTTATCGTTAGACAATCGGATGTGATAATTTACCTGTATTACCGTATTTATGCAATTGACTGTCGTAAAAATGATTATGCAAAATGTGTTTACTAAATACTATCATTGAACTGAGCGGAAACGGCTTTATAGCAGCTTCTTACATTGTTTGTACTTTTACTTCACACTTGTGTAAACTTGGGGAAGACCGTAAGAAAACTCTCACAGTTACAATAATAAAATAATTAAATTCTGAATAACAATAATAGAGTTATAAATAGTAATGTCCGATCGCAGTAAAGATATTAAGAACGCATTACTTTTAGTACTTTCCATACTCTATATTATAAAGAGGTAACATTTAAGCTTGTATATAGGGGGGTAATCTTTAGACCGCTGGTCGGATTGCCAAAATTCTTTCAATGACAGATAGCTGCAATCTTCCTGAGTGCTAAAACATTACGCTACAATCTATACAAGTCGAGCAGCGAGTGATACCGCGCCAGGGTAGCTCTAGCTAGTATGATATATAAAATATTTCTATATGTATTAGTATTTTTATCTTACCGGAAGAGTTCATGTGCATTCGCCGAAGCCGGAACACCCGGTGAATCTCGGGGCGTGCGACACGTGAACTCTGAGTCAAAGTAGAATGCGTCATCGGCCCTAGATACCGCTGGCCTGAATGGGGGCACCACCTACACAAATTATTTTTAATTATTTGTCAACGAAGAAATCGGGATGAAAATTAGACTATAAATAATATCTTGTTTGTCAAGTAAGGAATAGGAAGCGCAAATTTCGGGAAAATTGGGTGATTTTTGGCTCATTAACACTACAACTGGCTGGGAAACTTCTTGTTTTAATAAAAACCACGGAGTTTATATATTATTCCTCTGAGAATAGCAATAGGCCCGCCTCTTATTGCATCGTACCTACTTATCGATCGCCGTCTTAATGCTTATCAACGATAAGGATTCTTTTGATTTTATGAAGATAATATGTATAATTCTCTGTAGTAAAGCTAAGTTAAAATTATGACCGCTTTTGTCGCTGCTTCGCTCCCGTCCTGCCTTTACTCTACCCTATCTTTTTTTTTCATAAAACCTTTTCGTAACAATAATAAAACAGAACTAAAGTAGAATTAACGAAATCGATAATGATTCATCTACCCTAGTAGGTACAGGAAAGAGCTAGAGCTAAAAAGTATCTACCACAGGTATCTATATTGCATACTTAGACACTATTATTAGTATCAAACTATTATTTACATTGTTGGTACTTAGTGTACCTATACCGAATGTGCCCTCCGTGGATTATTGTCGTAAGCTTATCAAATCGTGTGAGCTTCCACAACTAAACTATAATTCGAAACAAAACCTAGTTTACTAAAATACCAAACATTCTATAAAAAATAAATTCCATACTTACTGTAGCTATATATAGTGAACATATTATTTAAGATATCGTTTACAAATACACACTTTCGGTAAATAATATCTCCATATGTGCCGAGGTCAATATACTATAGATATAGATACCTACTACATCCATATTTATATAGCATCGATTGTTTTTTTTAATTAATTTGTCTGGGGAGTACGGCCGTAACCCTTTCATCAATCACAATTGCTTTTATACCGTCAATTCCACAATATGCAGTGTTTACCATCGGTACCTACATTAATTTCGATCGAGATACCTAAAGTAAAATATAATATAATACGCTCCTATAGAAGATACATAAGTCATATTACGCCTTTTAATCCTTAAAGACAAGTGTGGGAGAGCCATGCTTCGGCACGAATGGGTCAGCTCGACCGGAGTGATACCACGGTCTTACAGAAAACCGGCGTGAAACAACCACAGCGCTGTGTTTCGCCGTGTGAGTGAGGTTACCGGACGCCCAATCCTTCCCCTCCCCGACCCGTCCCCAATCCCTTAATCTCCAAAACCCTAATCCCTAAGAGGTCGGCAATGCACTCGTACTTAACTCCTCCGTTGCGGGTGTCCATGGGCGGCGCTGATTGCTTACCATCAGGTAGTCCGTATGCTCGTTTGCCGATCTGTTAGGTACATAAAAAAAGGCAGAGAGTAATGTATTCGCGATTTCATGAAAACTGAAATAATGCCTTACTTATACTTTTTTACGGCGGGCAATCTTTAAAGAACCTTGGTTTTAGAGGAAACTCTTATTTCCTCCAGGTTACTGCCTTCGTCTACAGACTACACTATTATCCAAAAATTCAGTGATCTAATTTGTCGGTATCTTCTTTCTCTTTTAAAATTTGTTGTTACTTACACTTAATTAGGTAGGTATATAAAGCAATATCTTTTGTAATTCTTGGTCGGCTCATTAGTCAAATAATGGTTACCTACTGCCTCTATTAGTAATAAATCAGTATTAATTTTTCGTAAAGCTGCATACCAAAATAACAATGAATAGTTCCCGTGTATCGATAAATTCGTATTTTTTTTACAAAAAAAAGCAGACTAATATAGATTAGAAAATAATTGCATGAATCTAGGAAAATAGCAATCAGGCACGCGAAGTGTCGGTTTACAAACTAAAATAGAATAGTTAGGTACGCAATTAAAAACATTTAAAATGGATTCTCACAAAAAATACCGAAGGAAAACGTCGAGAGCGACATTGAAGCGGATAAATAGGTATACATAATTGGCGATGTAGACAAAGGTTAATAGTTGTTAAATTTCAAAATCTTTGATTACTTAATTGAGTTGATATTTCAAATGCCAAAAGTCATTTTTTTATTTAACATTGGATGAAAAAAAAATACAGAACATCTAAGCATGTAAAAAAAGACCGAAAAATAAAGCTAAATATTAATTCTAAGCATGGGTATTAAAACAGGCACAACACGGTAAAACAAAACGTACCTCTTTCCTATACAAAGCATCCCAATCTATACTTGCGAAGAACTCATGATTCTTTATATCTTCAATGCCATTAGCACCGGCTCCCAATCTAAAAGAAAAAAATAAATAAAAATAAAAACTAGTATTTGACCAAAACAGATTTTAAGTAAGAATAACTTATATCTATGAACTTACCTGTTCTGCGGGTTTCTTTTGAATAAAGCTCTCAAAAGAGACTGTGCCTCTTCACTAAGATTCGAGGGCATTCCGAGTTTCGCTTTTAATATCTGGGTCATAGTTTCATGGCGCGTCGAACCATGGAACGGTAGATTGCCAGTCAGCATTTCAAACTAAAAAAAACACATTCCAAAAATCCTTTGATTTGTTCTAGTTAATATTAAAAAATTATCAAACAGCTTTACTACATACCATAAGTACACCAAAGGACCACCAGTCAGCTGCAAATGTGTGTCCTCTTCTGTTAACCACCTCGGGAGCCATGTATTCCACAGTACCACAAAAGCTATAAGCTTTATCACTAGTTGGAGGGAGTTTTGATAAGCCAAAGTCTGTAAGTGCTATATGGCCATCAGCATCTAATAAAATGTTTTCTGGTTTCAGATCCCTGTATATTATTCCCAACTTGTGTACATGTTCTAATGCTAATGCTAGTTCAGCTAGGTAAAATTTAACATCCTCCTCAGTAAACATTACCTAGAAGTAAATAAAATGTGCAGTGAGCTAAAATCATCGCATTCATTATAGCACTACAGCATGCTGTTTCATGGTTTATTTATAACATGTACACATAAATATTCATAGACTGATACTGCTATTAGAACTCACCTCTTTACTGAGTCGTGAAAACAAATCTCCACCACGCAGGAAGTCCAGTATTAAATATAATTTACCAGCTGTTTGAAAAGCATAGTGTAACTTAACAATAAATGGATGGCCCATTTCAACTAGAATATTTCTCTCCATTTTTGTACGTTCTCTGTCTCTAACTTTTAATGTGGCCTTTTTAAGTACCTAAAAGAACATGTTATTACTTTAGTATTTTTTTTAAGTTTTTATTAAAAAAAATAAAGAGTGGTATAGAATAGGTATATCACCTTCATGGCGTAAAGAGTACCAGCATCAGCACCAGTAACTTTTCGTACTAAAAATACTTTTCCAAAGGAACCTTCACCGAGAACTTTGAGCAATTCAAATTGTGAGGGGTCTGCCTTCTCATGACCTTCCTTTACTACATCTTGTATTTCTACCTCCCTTTCTTCACTAATGTCAACAGTTGTATCTAAGCTTTCAGTTGTTGATGCCTGCCGAGACTCGGCTGAGTTTTCAACCACAATTGGAAGACTATTGGCTGGCTGAGCAGATGTACCAAGCTAAAATGATTATTTAGTATTATTCAATATAGATTAAATGTATGCATTCAATGCATATCCATTCAAATTGGTTAACATATTGATGAAATTTCAGTAACATGCAAATGTGTCTTATTATTGTACGATAATAATAACATATATTTTTAATGATGTAAACACACATTTTAAATATTCTAAACGATTATACATAAATATAAGTAAGAATCCAATAAGAATACCTATTCCTTGCAAAGCTTCACATTAAAATACTGTATTACAAATATCAACAAATAATCTAATATGTTAAATTCAGTTCTACAAATATGACCAGTACCTGTTTCATTTTGGAAAGTTTAATTAATAAATTCATTTGAAGGTTTTATTAAAAACAATATTTTAATCACTAATAATTTACACTTTGGAAAGATCAACACATCACACAATATAAATTATTATGGAACAGAGCACATCTTGATTCTTTGAACCGAAACACGTTATTAATTATTGAAATAAATGAATCATGGATATGCACAAACACTACAAAGTATCATATCACTTTTCCTTGTAAGTTAGCTTGGCACTGACATAATTTTATATTTTCCTGAAGAGATCGTTTTTAGTAAAAATATTAGAACTGATTCCCTTAATAGTCAATTAATGGAATGTCTAGACAATTAACGTCGTGTAATTAATTCCTGACTAAGTGGGCGTAATAAGCAGATTATCTTAAGAAAATTGTAATTTCGTTACATTAATATTTGTGACACTGTTTGAATCACAAGAACACGTAAAAAGCAGATGTGATGATTAGAAAATAACATAAATAACATAAAACATAATTAGCTACGCAAACAAACTCTATATATACCGTGTTATCTCCAACATTCTGCATTCGCCAAGGATCTGAGGTATTAGCCAAAGGCATGGTTTACCAATTTTGCACTTTAACATTCAACGTAAAATACTGTAATTATATTTAAAAAGGATTAGAACTAAACCACTTCAAATTCCATTTCTCATTCATCAACCACATATATTATCGCAAATTTTTCGAACTACCATTGACAGCAGCCAGACGTGATGATATGAAAAATATGACAAGACCGATTTTGACGCAACAGACGCGGTTCCGCAGAAAATTTATAAATTCTTATAAATCAATAATTAATTTTGTTTTAGCATTCGTTCAAAATAGAAAAGAAATCGACATCATTATTATTATTATATTTCTTTTTGTGGCATTGTTATTTACGGGTATCAGTATTAAATAAAAACTACGTAACAAAATATTTCAAGAATAGTTTCTGTTGCTTGCCTTAGGGAACCTTAAAAATAGAGAACAGATTAGATGAGCGTTCCAGATACAGTACGAAACAGATTTTGAGCATTTATCGATGACATTCTCGATATTGCAACTGACAGGAAGTATAGGTAATCCTAGACGTAGGATAGAACCTCAAATTGCGAGGCAAGAAGAAACTGGGTGGTTTTAGTAAGAGTCTGATACTCCCTTTTGCAACAGAAAGTAATAAGATGATTTTCACCCTGATAAAAAAGTTAAGGGTCATGTGTAAAAACAGTGTACAACACAACTAAAACGATGACAATCCTGACTCCTACTAGTTATGTAAAATATTATTTTCAAAATCCTTCCTGTTTGGTAAATGCTCACGCCATTTGAACAGTCAACTGTTCCGTAGCGTTAGGTAAATATTGCCAGAACGCCCAAAAAATTATAACAAATATAATAACATTAAATTGAGTAGGTGGTAGATAAAGATCAAAGGTACTGCGCGAAATTTAAGTTTTTTTACTTTCTTTGCTTGCTATCGACACTTGCGGTGGTAATGGCAATGTAATGATACAATAATTATGTGTAAATGGGTCAGACTAGGTAACAAGGACTGCCCATGAACACCCGCAAGAGCACCCGTGACTCCTCCCGTGTTGCGGGTATCCATGGGCAGTGCCGATCACTTTCCTAATCTGATCGTTTGCCTCCTATTCCTTAAAAAATATTAAACTGCACTTATAGGTAGTTGAAAAAAAGCAGATAGAAGACCTCATGGATATGTATTGTGTATTATTACGTCCATGGTAAACCTATTACAACCTATGCAAGGATTGACACGATGATGTCATAAAAAATGTCATTTTATAATTTTCGCAGAAAAGTGGTTGCGTTTTGGTTTTTTCGCAACTTGAGTTATCAATATACATAATTAATTTTAAAGCAGATTATTTTTGTTATGATTTACACAGATTTGCATAAAGACGAACATACTGACGAAATGTTATCTTATGGCACTGTTGTTACTAGTAATAAATCCATTCAGATAGGGCCCACTTGGAAAGGTTTTAGGAGTAAGTATCTGGGTACAATGGTAATATAAGTAGTACCTAGCTACAAACAAAAAAATATAGCTATCTAATATACATATAGCTAGCAGCTACCTTTGTTATTAATATTCATTTACCTAAGTTTGTGAATGATAAAAGAATTAGGTTAATGCGATACCTAATTCTTTTCAGAGCCTGTGGTAATGTCAGCTCATTCTGTTCAAAAAAGCGAGGATGTTACGAGTTCCATAATAGGTGACTTCGGAAGATGGCAACTGAAAATCAGTATATTAATGGCGCTCTTGAAATTACCCATAGCTTGGTATCAATTAAACATAATATTTATGGCACCACCCCAAGATTTCTGGTGTTCTAAACCATCGCCCTTTTCTAAATATAGCGATGAAGAGTGGAGAAAACTCAGTTCACCGGTATGTTATTTAATTTTAAAAAACATACCTACCTATTTGTCGATAAAGGGACTGTGACATAGTACACCTACTGACCTTTAAATAGCTTTTTGTGCATTTAGCTACTTGGGCTCGTACCCCTTCATGATTGGTACGGGCAACGTCGCGTTAGGAGTGCGTTTGCAATTCGGATAATCCGCGGATATCGCACGATCTCCGAGGAGGCGGCGAACCTCCTTGCCAGATCACCGCCGTGGGATTTGGAAGCGAAGACGCTTGCACGCGTCTACAGTTTGTGCTCAGACGGGCGAGTATCCTTTGCCGTGCCAAATTAGTGCGTGGCGCACTGTGGCGCAATGACTGTTGCAACTGAGGGCCGGGCATGCTGTTATAGCAGCGGTAAGACTCTCTTTGAGGAGTGGCTTAAGAGACGCCACGGCGTCCTCATCTTCCACCTTACGCAGGTGCTTACCGGGCACATCAGCTTCTGTAGGTTCCTGTTTCGGATCCAGCGGGCGGAAACGACCAAGTGTCGTCATTGTGAGGACCACCTAGAGGACACGGTGGAGCATATGGTGTTGGTGTGCCCTGCTTGGGCTGTGCTACGCCGTGTCCTCGTGGAAGTGATCGGCGTCGGCGACCTCCCGCGCCCGGCCTTAGTCGAGGCCATGGTCCGTACCGAGAGGAACTGGGAAGCCGTCTCCTCTTCTTGCGAAGCAGTGATGCTCTCAAAGGAGGAGGCGGAGCGCGGGAGGGAACTATCCTCCTCGCGCCCCAGCTGTAGCAGTAGGCGAAATTCCGGACGTCGGGGATCAAGAGATGTCTCCGACCACCGTAAGCGCGGGTCTGCGGACGGCAAGTAAGGGTAGCTCGCCGCCCGACCAGACCCAGGCCCGAGTGTACGGCAATTAGCGTTCCGCGCGCGGCTCATAGAGCCAATAGACCACCACAGACGGGGTCCCATAGAACTGATGTTCAGCCGGGGTTGCGGGTTAACCGCAATGAGTCACCGCGGCCTCGGCCCAGAGCAGGAGAAGGAACGGGGGGTTTTAGTCAGTAACAGTCTGACTCTCTCTAGCCTAACCCTGGGCGGGAGAAGTCATTTGATGATTTTCCTCTGACAAACGACCTTTTTCTTGTGAGGTCACTTTGGTCAGGTGTTTTCTTTGAAAATGAATATGTGGTCAAATTAGTTTGGGTTTAGTATCTCTCATAGCTCCCGAAACTTAACTGTTGAGACAAGTCTCTATTTCATGCTGCTGGTATATGCGGTAGGCGGATAGTGGGTAGGTAGGTATTTCCCTAGATGAGTGGTCCCATTCAAAGTGCGCACAACCTATAAATGAAGCAGATAAATATTCTACAGGTAAAAACCAGGTTTGTTTGGTCCTATCTTATCTTTTACTTGCAACCCATCAATGGAAGACATTCGATGTTATAATATTTGGTGCAAAAATATAATAATATATGTAAATACAACCTTAATGGATACAACGCCATAAGTAGGTTATATACATATTTATTCTGTTTCAGCATGTTGAAGAACACCCTTGTTTAATATTTGATCCCGATTTGCTAGCAATTGATCCGTTTATGGACAAAACTTTAATACCCCTTGTACCCTGTAAAAAATTTGTATATGATACAAGTGTGTTTAAACGCACCATAACCTCTGATTGGAATTTGGTGTGCTCCAAACACTGGCTTACTCATGTAAGTAATAATAACGTAGGTAACTAATATAGACATAGGTCCTAACAGTATTTTTTGTGGTGGTTGTTATCAATAATTGGCGACCCGCCCCATCTTTGCCCGGGTGTAATGCTGTTAGCCTTCTTTAATATGCTTTTATTTTTCACTATGTGATGAATGTCACCAAAATAAAACTAGCTCTTTCACTCTATAAAAAAACGCATCAAAAGCCGTTGCGAGAGATTTAAGCATAGGTTTAAACCAAGAAAGCAAGTTTTATATACCTACTATAACTTATGTAGTGATGTCATTTCAGATGTGCCAAATCGTGATGATGTGGGGTATTGTTATAGGAGGTATAATATTCGGGATGTGGGCCGACAAATATGGTCGACAATTGCCTCTCATAATCGGAATAGTGATACAATCTGTCAGTAGTTTTATTGCCAGTATTTTGCCATGGTACTCAATTTTTCTGCTTAACTGGTTTATTTTGGCTTTGGCGTCTGGTGGAGTAGGAATTATATCCTTTGTTATAAGTATGGAGGTAAATAGGTTTTACTTATTATAATTTTACAAAACGTAACATTAGACAGAAGGCTATATAGATAGTGAGTGAGTAGAGTAGTAGGCACGAAGTTTACATAATTATCTAGGTAGGTACCTACATTCTTTAGCTTGTATTACATCCATCACATCCATTAGTGGGAGAGCTATGCTTTGGCATGTATGGGTCGGCTCGACAGGAGTAATACCACGATCTCACCGGACAACGGCGTGAAACAACATTCACGTTGTGTTTCGGGTTACCAAAGGCCCAATACTTTTTCCCTTCCCCAATCCTTCTTTCTCTCCCCCAATATCTAATTGTCCGAATACCTAATCTCTAAAATGCCGGCAAGGCACTCGTAATTCCTCTGGTGTTGCGGATGTTGATGGCCTGCATCTATTGCTCCTATCAGGTAGATAATCCTGCTGTCTGCTTGTTTGCCGTCCTGTTATATACGTACCTATATATTTTAAATGTCTCTCATTTACATAACATACATTATACTATACTTATACACTATAGTACTATACTATATTTAGGTACATAATACAAGTAGGTACTTCGATACGTTATAAAATTCTAAGTATAAATAACAACAATATACAACATTTTAGGTAGTGAGCGGCAAGTGGCGAACAATAATACCAGTGGTTTATCAATTACCTTTTGGTATTGGTAATGCAATTATGGCAGGTTTAGCTTATTGGCTGAGAGATTGGAGAAAACTCGAATCCGCATTAGGGGCATGTTCCTCATTATTCATATTGTACTGGTTTTGGATACCAGAATCTCCAAGATGGTTGTTGGCAACAGGACAAACAGAAAGAGCGGCAGGTAATACGGCAGTACATTTTATTTAATGATTAAACAGCTAGCTACGCGTTGCCTCAGTACTTAAGCTATTTTTGTTCGATAGTGGTATACACCGATTATTTATTTTATTGCAAATAACTCTTTTTTGGTAATACGAGTACCGAAGTAGGTAAGTATCTAACCGGATTGCGCGTCGATAGCGATTGTTTAAGTTTAATCAATAACTTGATCGTGTTATAGGTACCTACGCTTTTACTTGTTTTTTTATCTAAGTACCGAATTTGAACCATTTACCTACCTACCTACTTAGTCATGTATGTTTTATTTTCTAGAAATTTTAAAAAATATTACCAGAGAAAACAAAACGTACGTCAGTTCAAAATATATTAAAAGACTCTTGAGTGAGCGTGAGGAACGAAGGCAACAGGATCCAGCATTTTTAGCTTTTTTGACGTCCAAGAGAATGAGAATGAAAACTATCTTACTTTCATTGAATTGGTAATGATTAAGTGTTTTTTTAAGTTATTTTATGTATAAAGATATTAAAATGCAGAAGCTTTATGCTTGTTAGGTAGATTTTGTATGTAAGAGTAGGTACAGTCTACCCAACATTAATGAATCCCCTGTGAAACCAGTGATGGCTTGGCAGTCTCATCTTTCCAAACCCAAGTACCCGCCTATTTCATGTATGTACCTACCTAAACGGTACCTATAGGTAGATAATTATTATCTATCATAAAGTAATAAATGTCCGAGATAGTTCTACAATAAGGCAGTTTTCGGACGCTTTGTCATTTCTCTAGTAGGAATACTTGCATAAAGTATCATACCTGAGGCTCAGTTTGTTCTGTAAGTATTCTGAGACCTGAGGCAAGAAGATGAGTGTGGATGGCTAAATAATTTTAATAGGCGCGAAGATAAGTGGTTACTTATATATATTTAAGTACCTACTTAAATCAAGATATCTAAGAACGATTTTCATGCTTACAGGTTTTGTACGGGTTTAGCTTTTTACACCTTTTCCCAATATTTGGGTTCCATAGGAGGAAACATTTTTATCGCAGTCTCAGTTACTGGAATCATTTCCACATTTGGAGGACTAACATGCATTTTCATAGTAACTAGAGTCGGAAGAAAGACAACTGTTGGAATATATCAGATAGTTACAGCCTCATGCTTCGTTTTTATATTGTTGATGCCAAGGGGCAGCTATGCAAACGACTGGCCGAGGCTATTGTTCGCGGGAATAGGTTTTGCAGGAATGGCGGTAAGTCAACCATGTGCGAAATTAAATTGTACGACCTGTTGATCACTGGTACCAGTTAAGAGTTAACGTAGTGAGGTAGGCAACTAGGCGCCCACCACCTAAGTACAAAGGCTGTATGTTTAATATTATATTTAACTAGCTACTCTCGCGCGGTTTCACCCGCAGCTCGGTTCCATTTAATCATAGCGTGATCTTTTATAGCCTATAGCACTCAGGAACATTGTAGCTATGTATCTATCAGTGAAAGAAATTTCGAAACCAGCGGTTCCAAAGACACAAACTTACAAATTTTACCTCTATGATATTAGTATAGATGAATTTCGTTATTTTATTTTAAATGAGCTAATTTCTGAATTTCAATTTGAATTAGCACGGCAGAATATTATTAATCATCACCATTATTGGTGGTGATTAAGTACTTAGTAAAAAAGAAGGCCCCTTTCGTACTTATTCGGTATCGTAAGCTGCAACACGTCCTCGTCTCAACAAAGGCCTCCCCTAAGTCCTAGAGTCTTCTTAGTAGAACCTGTTTCACAACCCTCATATATTTAAGTGTCCGATATACTTTTGGAACAACCTACTTTATACTAGTTGTTTTATGTAATACTTAAAGAAAATTATCTGGTACACGGTAACACCCCACCTTTTCATTCATCGTGAAATAATTAAGTTAATTTCATAATTACAGGGCACTATACCAGCTTTATATTTGTTTTCTGGAGAGTTGTTTCCAACATTGGGAAGAAACGTTGGGGTCAGTGGAGTGACGACATTTGCTCGCATCGCGTCTATGGTTGCCCCTGCAGTAGTTACCTTGGATAGTTTATTTGTAGATCTTCCTCTTATAATATTAACCATCATTTCTTTTGGACAAATATTAATAATACTACCCTTACCTGAAACAAAAGATACTCCATTGCCAGACACTTTAGAGCAAGCCGAGCAGTTTTGATTAGGATAGTACCTAGCCAAAATTTTTACCTAGTTAGAGTAACAAAACGGCATGCGACTTAGAACTTAATTTATTTATTAAGTAGGTGAATGCTACTATATTATATGGATGGTATGTTATATGATGGTTTATTGGTTATTTACTTTTAAAGGTAGCAATAGCATTTTTGTATTGTAATAAATAATGAAAAATAAAAACTTAATAATATAGCTCTGTTTTAGTTACGAAACACAATCTTGAATTTTCTGCTTGGGAGTATTTAGGGTTGCTCCATCCGTCGTTTAGGGTTATGGTGATGATGCGACAGACAATTTTTGTAAAAAGTAATCTTAACACACGCCACTGAAGATCGCTATGGTGTAGTGAGCTGGCAGGTATAGTGTAGTAAAACAATATAAGTTATACATTACTGGTGTTTATTACTTTTAAATGCATATTAAAAAAGTTTCACATTTTAAACCTATCTGCCCCAAACGGGTATTACAATTGTACCTACTAATAGGTAGGTTTCCTACAAAATAGACATCAAGTATAACCAAATTGCTATTGGTAGTAGTAGAGAGATTAATTTCTAAATAAATGCTGCTGCCAACAATTTTTGTATGATAACTTTCAAGTAACCTACATTAAATAATGTAAGTAAATGCTGTATAAAGTGTAAGATAGCAGTCACTACTTGACTTATATACTTATATAGGATTGTGCACAACTGTATTGAGAATGTACATAAAATGATTATCATAAGGTTAACAAAATTTTATAAAATGATGCCAAATCAAACTAATTTGCACTAAGGCTATTGTTTAGAAATGTATAAAGACTGGACTAGAATATACTACAAAATGCAATTCATAATTACACAGAAGTATATTTTACTTGTACTGTTAAAAATGTATTGACATTATAAAATTGTACATTCTAATTAATACAACTTAAAAACAATGTTAATCCTTCTTCTCATTTGTAATTTGGTTTCTTATGTTTTCAATCCTATGTAACAAAGTTGGATGTGAGTGATACCATGCTGAATACAATTTGTCATAAATTGGGTAGTCCAAATTGTCTTTGCCCAACTTTATTAGAGCAGACCTTAACTCATTGGAATAAGATAGAGAAACAGCAAAGTTATCAGCTTCAAATTCAAATTTTCTGGAGAGAGCAGTGGCAAAGAAAGATAATACAGAATTATATGGGGCAAGGATCATCTGTAAGACCACAATTAGACCTATAATGATTGGTTCTTGACCAGCAGGGAAACCAAGGGATGTATACAACATTGAATATTTAAAAAGGAATCCGAATGCTGTAAACAAAAGAAGCAAATTAACTTCTGTGAGAGCGATAGACTTGTAAATGTGACTGCAACTCCAGTGACCAAGCTCATGAGCCAGAACTCCTAGAATTTCATTTTCTGTGCATCCTGTTGTCACTTTCTTTTCTTCATCAAACTTCTCTAATAATGTATCAAACAAGACTATCCGCTTGTTACCAAACAGACCGCTAAAGTAAGCATTACTATGTGCTGACCTCTTAGATCCTTCAACAATATATATTTGAGACAAAGGAAAATGAAGCCTTGAGGCTAAACCTTCAATACCTTTCCTTAAGGAACCATCAGGCAATGGTACAAATTTATCGAATAATGGAGCTATAACAGATGGGTATATTGTGAGCAGCAACAATGTTGCTACAGTGGTGAACATCCACAACCATACAACAAACATGTTTCCTCCAAGCATTATAATATAAATGGCAATTGAGATAATGGGGAGAGTGATCACAAAGTTCAGTAACAAGGATTTTAACTGATCTTTTATAAAGAAGCCTGCAGTCTGCTTGTTGAAACCATGTTTTTGTTCTAATACAAATGTTCCATAAATGGTGAATGGCATGTTGACAACAAAATTGAACAATGTAACAAATATCATAAAGACACAACTGACTAGAATCTCTCTCTCAGGAGAAATGTGGAAATAAGCAGCAATATCTTCAGATTGCTGCCATGCCACATAAATCCACCTTTTATATAAAACCACTGATGTTAATACTATACTGTATAATTCTTTCACTATTTTAAATCGGGATTTGTCTATACCATATAGACGAGCTTTCTTGAATGATTCTTCATTTAGCATTTCCTTCAAGTCATTTGGTATGGTGTTATTGGTCTTGTATATTTTCAACTGCAAAAAATAAGATTACTTAATATTATTATTGCTTGGACACTTAATTTTAATATATGGAAACATAATTTTAGTGTACATGGCGTCGCGTTGACATGTTTGTAGATATGGTATACGTTGTAGCTTATCAGAAAAGTAAACCAATTAGGCATGCAAAGTTTGAAGAATAAATGTATATCATACATTATTCTTATTTGTGTTCATTACTGCAATAAAGTATTAACAATATTGTATGAAGCACGCCGAGAAATTGAGTAAATTTACTTCTAAACACCGAGCAAGATAACATGTTAGTGAACCATTATTTTTACCTGCCGTAGAGACAAATAAAGCTCCCACAAACATTCTCCCCATGAGAATAGTAGAATCAAAAACACAATCAAGTCTTCATCAAATTTCATTTTCCTAATAATGTGATTCTGATACAAAAAATCGAAATATCTAGCCGAAGCCGACCCAACCGGACACAATTTGACAGATTATAAGTTTTAACACGAATTTGACATTTATTTGACATTGTGTGAAGATCTTTTTTTATACAGGTGTTAAACATGTAAACTTTGGATATTTAGTTATTTATTTTAATTTTACAATGCAATAAACTGCGAAATCGTTTGCTAATATATAAAAACGATATGGTATAATAAATTGAATTCTAAAGTATAAATAAGCTTACCAAGCATGTTGTTAATGTTAACAAGATATGTCAATTATGTTTTCGATACCCTGCTGATAAATCTTGCTCTCGTTCTACCCCATCCCCTAGTTCACAGTTAGCTTTAATACGTATAAAAGAGAAACAGAGCTGCAACAAACTCATTACCACTTCAGACACGGCATAAGCTTTACAACAAAACTAAACAAAATAAATCACTATGTCATCAACAGTTTCTAAGATTTTATTCATTTATGGAATTCAGTTATTATGTTTGGTAATTTTTAAATGTACCGCAGATGAGGCTTGTGAAACTATTCCAACTGAAATACACGTGACTAAAGGTATGGCAGCGTAAATAACTTTAATAATAAATTGAATCTTGACATTTACTTACATACCACAAATATTGGTTTCAGAGGAGTATGACGATATGGGAAGATTAGTGCGATCATGCAGTGGTGAGGTCAGTGTAAATAAGTGTGAGGGTATGTGCAGTAGTCAAGTACGACCATCCATTTCTGCCCAAACCGGATTTTCTAAGGTACTTTTTTGTTTATTTTTTTTTTATGTGATATGTCATTGTTGTGGTGGCCCCACTTATTGGCTGATGATGTTATGTGATGTGATTTTTTAAGCACAATCTATAAGATCTCTCGACCAATGTGACAATAATCTAAGAGATATCGAGCTTGGGGAAATCGCAAAATTTCCTTTTGAGCCAAGAGATTGGGTTCGACGCCCGGGTGGGCTAAAATAAATACTGTGTAAGTACGTGTTAAGTTTTAATTAAAAATATATTTCTATTTTCAGGATTGCTACTGCTGTCGTGAAAACTACTTGCGGGAACGGTTGGTTACGCTAACCCATTGTTACGACCCTGATGGTGTAAGACTTGAAGATGAAGACAGTGCAATCATGGAAGTACGACTGCGTGAACCTGACGATTGCAAGTGCTACAAATGTGGAGATTACAGCCGCTAATATGGTTTATACAAACCTACTTTTGTATTTTATGATGTAACAAAATAATGGCCCATTCTTTTATGAGGACTATTGAGAAATCTAAACTATTTACCCTGGGTTAGATAGCATATTTGTAAAAAAAACGGTCAAGGGTTTTTTAATTATTAAGTAGGCTTTACAAATTAATTTAAGATAGTTTTAAGCTAATCCGTGCCTGTGTATTTTGTAATAAATTATTTAACCTATCTGTAAGTTATGATTAACACAAAGTTGAAATAAAATATTTTAACGAAGTTTCAGAAAATTTTATTTTACCCATCCGTGCTTTAAAATCGTCTGCTTCTTACTATAAATTTAGCGAGGAAGACGCTAGTCTTGGAACTGATTGATGATAACTACCTACCTCTACAGCTAGAAAATAGTTGTAAGTCGTTAAAAAAACTCAAAATTTATTATATAGGTACTAGCTTCCGCCCGCGGCTTTGCACGCGTATAAAATTCTGTATAAAATTTTGGAAATTCTGGATTTTGAAAACAGCAGTGCTTAAAGCGATAGCTGGATACGCAAAAAATAGAAATAAAAAAAAATATTAAAAATTCAAAAAATAGTATAAAAAGCCTATGGCACTTAAGAAAGTTGAAGCTATCTATTAGCGAAAGACTTTTGGAAATCCGACTGTGTGCCTACTAAAGATAGATTCAAAATTAATATTTTTTTTGGTTTGTAGTATTTTGCTGATTAGGTACGTAAATCCCCTGACAAGCATCAGGGTTATAGTAATTCATTTAAGGAGAGACTGATAATGACAATTATTTTATTTATGATTTTAAATATATTTTATTAAATGCTATTTTAGTTTTTATTATGTCCGTGCATGTAGCGTGGGCCATCTGTAAAAGGAGAGGGTAAAATTACTGATCGGCCGATAGTCACAGTACTTATTATTGTCTTGCTAAATGGCGTCGCAAAGGTGCACGCATTCTAAGCGTATTCCATGTATAAGTTTGGTGTTTCCACTATGATTTCTATCCTTATTTTTTATTGAATTTGTATTAATGTCAACTTTTTTTTAATTTGGTATGACTATGAGTGAGAATATTATAAACGTAAGAGCAAACAAATATAATCAGTATGCTTCAAATTACTAAGATAAGCCTTCTGCCAGGAGTTACGCGTGTTATTATGAGTCAGCCATAAAATATAAACATATGCTGTTGCATAATATTTTTTAGATAATTTTATATACTTAGAACATTTTCGTGATACACGATTTTTATGTTACTTTTACCATTACAGCTACACACGCGAAGGAAGTTTAAACAATTGAGTAACTCCTTCCGTTTTCCCAACATTTACCTTCACTGCTATGCACCTATTAATTGTAGCGTGATGAAAAGTATCATATCCTAAATAAAATGAAGGAATATGAAGAATAATTGTACCAAGTTTCATTAAAATCTGTCGAGTAGTTTTTGTTTCTATAAGAAACATACAGACAGACAGACAGGCAGACAAAAATGTAACTGATTGCATTTTTGACATCAGCTGTATTGATCACCAATCACCCCCTGGTCGTTATTTTGAAAATATATTTCATGTACAGATATAGTGTATAGAAGTATACCTAAATAAAAAACTTTTCTGCTGTAAGGTTTAGCTAACGTTCATGAGTTAGCTTATTATCATCAATAATTCATATACTTATTAGACTATACACATTACTTTATCGCCATTGTATCAGTTGCAACATAAGGCGTCAAGTGAATACCTATTAGTGAATAAGGTCCTTTAAATGACTTCCAGTCCAGATGACCTAGACTGTCTTTTGCTAATTGTGAAAACCATCAACAACCGAGATACTTTACTATAGCACAGCAGCATATTACGGTGAAGGTAGCTAAAAAAAGGACGCGAGACAGATCTTATTTTATTTTATGGCCACTCTGCTGGGGGGGATGGATTGAGGCTCAGGCAAACTCACTGACCTGGTGAAACAGAACGTAAGTGTTGCTTCACGGTTTTGTACATCGATGTGGTATCACTCTGGTCCTGGCCCGTTCGTACCGAAGCATGACTCTCCAACACTTATCTTTATGTCATTACAATACCTACAATAAACTCCTTATTACTGTGGGCCTTGTTTGTCATGACTGTTAGGCTAAGGTACCGGTTTTTCTGGCGTGGGTGTAGACTTACACAGGGTTCTGTCGGGTTCGAAACCGGACAGCTATTTTCTCAAGATAACTAATTAATATCGATCATCGTTATTGCTCATGCTCATTCCTTCTTCGTGTAATAAGAGGTCTTTCTAACCCAGCAGCGAGACAGTTATTGAAAGTGATCAGTAGTCTACTGAGAATAAGAGACAAAGTCGCAATTGGCGCATTTGGACCAGGGGATAGTGGGATTGTGGGACTGAGAATATAATATACTTACAATAAAGAGTGAGACTAATTTATCTGAACAAATATACCTAAGCAAGCTATAGGCACATGCACATAATTCAACGCACCAATTATTATTTAGCATTATTTTTTGAGTTCTGTATTTCATGAGTTACTAATGATTTATTGTTGTTGCCGATGAGGCAATGAGACAATAATATAAAAAATTTAAGAGTATGTATATTCGTTTGAAACTGTGACAAAAGAAACGAATGGGCCCGCTCGACTGAAGTGATACCATGGCTTTACAAAAATAATCAAATGATTATTTTTAAATCCAGAAAATCCAGAAATCATTTGTCGAGTGATTGAGTAATCTGATACTCTAAATCTGATACTCCCTCTCACCCCATCGAGATTCTTACTGACTTAAACGCGCACCGTTTCTAAAATAACGTTGCTGTGGGACAATCTGCAAAATCCGGAAATCTGCCAATCCCCAAAAGCGAGGTGCTAATGAGCACCGCCCGATTACTTACCATCAGGCTGTCTGTCTCTCATCTGTCTACTCGTTTGCCGGCGAATAAGCCAAGATTAAACAAAAAATGAGTAAACCTCGTTGACTCGCAGAAAATGCATTAAATCCTCCGATATGTAATTAATTATGAACCCACTGCTTTTGACCAAGTGCAGTTTTAAGTTCCACATAGGAATAGGACATATCACCATTCTATTTTACATTCCGTTTTGAGTAGACTATAAAGAAGTCCATGACTACCACGCTGCGCCGAACCATATGATTATTGCTAAACAATGAAACAATATAAAAACTTGATGGTATTTAAAAAACTAAACTTCTGTTTAATTCTCTCTACTTTGTTTTTGATTATGACGCAGATCGAATAAGAATCAAAGTCCTGAGTAAGTGTTTTCTCTATAGGCTTGACTCGCTGTTGTTGCAGAGCAATGAGATTTAGCTTATTAGTCACAACCGAATATGTATAACTTTATTTACCTATTAGAAAAAACATACAGTTATTCAACAGGTAGCCCAAATGAAACATACCCGAGCGGACGGTGCGTAGCGTTCTGCGCGCGCCTCACATAGCCAATAGACCACCACAGGCCATCCTGAGGGCTGATGCTTTGCTGGGGTTGCGGGTAAGCGCAATGAGGCACAGCGGCCTCGACCTAAAGCAGGAGAAAGAACGGCGTGTTTTTAGTTAGTAAGAGTTTAACAGCCCCTAGCCTCACCCTGGGCGGGAGAAATCATTTTATGACCTTCACACAAACAAACCTGGCCAAAGGTAATAAAAGAGGGCCAGGCTCAAGTAGTACCTAGGCTATTTATAAGTCTAAAGTGTCACTATACAATCATCATTAGCGAACTTAAATTTTTACATAATTAAGTGTGTTATACAATGTATTCATATTGATTTTATTTTCTTTAGTTCAATATCACAGAACGATAGCTCCCGCTGAGTGTCCATTAAAGATCGATTAAATCTTGTCAGCGCTGTAGGTCCACATGTTGTTGTGTTGTTCTCACTAAAATGAATTTCATGTCTCGTTACAAGGGTACGAGTTTTCTTCTAATGCGTGGTGCCTTTATATACCGAAGGGATTATTCGATAGTTCACACAACTATTTCGCCTATCAAAGAATAAAGACCAGCGTTAAGTCAATAACTCTATTTATAAACAGAAAAATGTTTCGTTTTGACATTATTCCTTTAAGTTTAGTGTTTTTGTCGGCTGTTCAAATTAATGACAAACCTGTAAGGGCCCAATCAGTAGAAATTCAACTGCCTCCAGGTAAAGGATAATTGGGCATTAATTTATTCTCGTACAACACATAGCTCTCTCTCTCATCTAAGTACGATATTTTTTATTTATTTCTTTCGTTTGTAGGACAAGAGTGCCAAATGACACCTGTTATTCATATTCTGAAACATCCTGGATGTATTCCTAAAGCGATACCTTCTTTCGCTTGTATTGGCAAGTGCTCAAGTTATGTTCAGGTAAGAAAAATGAAAAAAAAATAGCCATTTAAAATTTGAATAAAATTTTATTGCATAACACGAATTTGAATTATATTCCATGGTTTCAGGTGTCTGGAAGTAAAATCTGGCAAATGGAACGGACCTGTAATTGTTGTCAAGAATCTGGTGAACGAGAGGCCACTGTTGTTTTGCTATGCCCTAAGGCTAAGAGCGAGGACAGGAAACTAAGAAAGGTATTATAAAATTATAACTTGCCGACGTATCCACTTGCATATTGTAAACATGCAACATATCTACCATCAAAAGAATTTAAACAATAAGGCCAAAGTGTCATAATACTATGATTTTATGAGAAACAATGTTATGGTATTAAAATTTTAACTTTTATTTTCCTTACAGATCACAACTAAAGCGCCCTTGGAATGTATGTGTCGTCCCTGCGGTAGCATCGATGAAAGTTCCATCATTCCTCAAGAAGTGGCTGGATACGCTGAAGAAGGCCCATTGTATAATCACTTTAGAAAATCGTTTTAAAGTTAAAAGACTATTTATTGATTGTTACTTCTCAAAATTTATAGAAATTGAATCTTATTAAATAAAGAAAACCCTTTGACCTTAAAATGCAACACTTTCATTTATTTGAGTTGTTGGTAAACTTACATTTTCAAAATGATCTGCTTACTAAGTGCTTACTTACGTTACTCAGATTATCGAGTTAAGTACCTACCAACCTAATTATTAAAATAACAGTACAGGCGTTTATCTCAAAACAAACAGAAAGCACGAATCCTTGGACGAATAAATTATAAAATGATATTTTTTTAGTACAGCTGGTACAGCTCATCTATTAGATGAAGATAGATGTGCATTACTGAATTTTTATTTTTAAATGTTAAAAAGGTCGGCGTTGATAAGTAAAAATTACATTATAAAAAGGTGTGGTGTCATGACTACAAATTACCATGAATGTCACTGTTGTTTTTATAAATGTCAGTTGTCAGATTTACTTCATCGTTGTCAGTGTCAATATTGACAGTTGTTAGTATTTCGTTTATTTTGTTTTGAAGTTCTCGGTTCTTAATTCTTCGACAATAATTTATCCAGTTATACGGTTTATTACTTAACGAAATATAGCAAAAATGAGTCGCAGAAAACGTGCAAAGGTATGTTTGCATTGTAAACTTGTAAATAGACGGCCTTGTCTTTTTTATTTATTTGTTTTGATGACTAGGTTATGTTTATCGATCGCAGGTAGAAACCCGGGAACTAGATGAAAAATTAAAACAGGATGATTCAGAATCCGATCAATCTGAAAAGAGTAAGATTACATCTTCTAGTCCTACCTCGGTTGGAGGTCGAAGGGAGTCGTCTTCGAGTCGTAACACGGACGCGAAAGAGAAAAAGGACGAAGCAAAAGCTGATGATTCTAAGAACGATGATATTGAGGAAATCAACTATAAAGAAATGCTCAACAGGTAAATAAAATCCCGTATTTATTTTTAACATCAATTAAATGTCGAATAAATGCTTAAAGTCGCTGCGACCACTTAATTTCGGCGTTTCTTCTCAAAGTAGTCTGAAAGGCCATGACAACCTTATCCAGTTTGTTGAAATGTTGTCTTATTGTAGTATTACTTTGTAATCAAATCTTAAGTTATTTAGCATACTTTTTCTTAGGGATACAACCTCATTATTGCTACATCCTTTCATTGAATTAGAACCATTTACAAAAGTTCATCTACTTATTGAAGATGTTATAATTTTACAGCCTTGAAGGTGCAGCATTTCAATCTCGATTGCCATTTGACAAGATGTCATCTCTAGAAGCTGAGTGTTTTTCTGATTTGCAAGGAGCTTCAAGCCATGCTTTTATTCAAATAAGAAACCGAATTTTAAAACTTTGGTTTGAAGATCCTAAGAAACAGTTAACTCAAGAATTGGCTGTACAGAAAATGGAGGTGAGTGGCTTATAGTAAAGTTGTTTTTATCCTGAATCATGTGTTACAATTATAAATTAAACATATGCAATATCCATTAAAGCAGCAACTTGTGGATCACGCAAAGAGTTGTTCTGTGCAGGATTGAACTTGTAACATGATGCACAGCAGTTGGTGGCCCAGCCACTGCATAGTCATTTGAAATATAAACTTGACTTCTAGTGATACTTATTTTTTTTGTTATTTTGTAAACCATACTTATATGGTTCTCAAACATTTTCATATGAGATTACTAATTTGTGTCATTACATTTTAGATACTTATAGATTTATTTTCTAATTGATTAATTATTCCTATCTTATTTTAATCTGTGTTATATATTGCACTAGGTACTAACTTTTGTTATATGATATAGTTTCTATTGATCATGATTTGTGTATTTTTATAATTTGTGATAATTGCAAATGCAAGCCGAACAAAATATTGTAACAATTTACATTTTCTTAAAATACACATTCTTCATGTAATCAAATAATACAGAAAAATAGGTGTGCTTATTATTAATATTACTTATTTTTGCTAACAGCCTCCTTACAATGGTGACCCAGCTCTAGTGATGAGAACTCATGCATTTTTGGAGAGACATGGCTTTATAAACTATGGTATCTATGAACGAACTACACCAATACCTGCCCCACCAAAAGGAAAACAGAGACCGAAAGTCATAATAATTGGTGCAGGTATACAAAAAATAGTTTATTTTTTTCTTTTAAAATTAGTTCGAATTAGACTTTTTTATCTATATTTTTTTTAAATCATGATTCTGTCATGTACCTAGAAGTTCTAAAATTAATATTATTGGTGTCTTAAATCATATTGAAACCCTATTGAATCATCAGTTCAATTACAAGATTCATGCCCTTATATTATAATTGAACCTATGTTTAAAATTAAACTTAATATTATTTTATACTATTTAACTAAATTACATTTGTATGTACCTAAATAATTTCCATTCGATTTTGAATACTAAAGTCATTATAATAAGGTTTAATATTCTAATTTCAGGGGTGTCTGGTTTGGCTGCAGCTCGGCAACTGCAGTCATTTGGATGTGAAGTGGTTATCCTTGAAGGGAGAGATAGAGTTGGCGGCAGAATCGTTACTTACCGGAAAGGACCTTATGTAGCAGACTTAGGTAAGATAAAAGTCATTGCGAGATGTAAACCGCTAGCTCCTGTTCGCGGCTTCGATTGTGGTACCAGGAAAAAAAGTAGACTACAATCTATCTCTATGTCAAATATAATTCAGATCTATTCAGAAGTTTTTATGAGAAAGAGTTAACAAACATCCATTCATTTATATTTACAAAAATTCGGGATTATATATTTTTTTATATTTAAAAGGCAAATAATTAGTGTGGGTAATAAATAATATGTTTAGGAGAGCCATGCTTCGCTACGAATGGGTCGGTTTGACCGGAGTGGTGCGTAAGCTTCACCAAAAACCGACGTTTAACAACTTCAGTGTTGTGTTTCGCCGTGTGAGTGAGGTTACCGGATGCCAAATCCTTGCCCTTCCCCATCTCTCCCTAATCCTTGAATTCCCAAAACCTCTTAATAACCTAATGCAGGCAGCACACTTGCAACTCCTCCGGTGATATCAGTCGATTGCTTACCATCAAATAATCAGTCTACTCGTTCACAATATCATAAAATGCTTATAAAAAAGTCAAAATAGCATATGAGTGACACTTAGAAAAAAACAAAATATCTAAAGTTATATTGGCAGTATGTTAGTCGTCCCCACAATACTAGCGACTTGTATAAATATATATTTTGTTGAAATCTAATATCTGTTTGCCCTCAAGTAAGACGGAGTAACGCAATATCAGCAACAACAACCTTAAATGTTACTGTTACTGTAGAGCTTATTTTAATGTATTATTATATCGAATGTTTCAGGGTATTTCAAATTCGAACCTTATTATTAAAACATTATTTTTTAGATTCAAATATCGTTTTTGCGTTATGCCCCTTTTCTATTAAGCATATGAATATGTGAATGAAATATAGCTTACATATCGCAAACGCCTGTTCTTCTGACGTTTGTCTTTACATTCCTAAATATTTTGGCTTACTCAAATTTCAGGTGCTATGGTGGTGACCGGTTTGGGTGGAAATCCAGTGACAACTTTGTCGGTACAAATGAACATGGAATTGCACAAGATCAAGCAGAAGTGTCCTCTGTATGAAGCTACAGGAAACCAGGTGCCTAAGCATAAGGATGAAATGGTAAGGAAATTTCTTTTTTGTTGCTTGTGCTCCAATATGTCTCCTTATTCGAGACATTAAGAATCATATTGGCTTCTGTATTTATTTTCGAATAAAACCTTGAGGAATTTTGCGTGGTAAGCAAAATACATGTCGCCTTGCATTGTATTAGTTGCAGTGTATTTATCATATAAAAAATGTACATCTTTTTAATGTCCTCCGAATAGCAATATTTTGCGACTTAATGCATGAATTCATTACAATAAACTATCCTCTACTAGTGAAATTGTTCAATATTTCTTTGTTTTCTTGGGATATTTTTGTGTACTTTTTACATACATATGTCCAATATGTATGTAAAAAGTACACAAAACTATATATACAGACAAAACAAAGCAATACTTGGTTGTGTTAGCTATTTTTTTAACACATATGTCATGCCTTGAAAAGCAAAGATGGTTTGCATATTTATGTTATTATTTTTTTAGGTTGAGCGTGAATTCAACCGTCTTCTAGACGCCACGTCCTATTTATCACATCAAGTGGATTTCAATTATTACAATGATACGCCTGTCTCTCTCGGCCAAGCATTGGAGTGGGTTATCAAGCTTCAACAGAAGAATGTTAAACATAAACAGGTATTTTATTAATGTTCTTAATTCTTGGGCAAAATTATGTGTTACACTGTTCTACATAATGGAACCGACCTCAATAACAAAGTCACAAAGAATTTAATTGTGAAATATTTTGGAAAAGAACAACCATAGTTAGGTACTTGCTCGTTTTTCGCCATAGGGATCTACTCTTTGAAACGAGCCAGCTTTACTAGGAGACTGGCACTTATCGTACTTAGTTATTTTGTTTGAAATTCCTATAAAATGTTTCATATAATGGTTTAATTGAAATAAATGATATGACTTTATTTACACAATATAAAATCATGCTTAAACAAATATGTAGGTAAGAATATCGAAAGAAAAGTTTGAATGTAGGTATTGGTATAATAACCAAAGATCAATTTTTTCTAGGTCCAACATCTAAAGGCTGTTATAACATTGCAAGAGAGACTCAAGTCAAATATTAACAAGTAAGTTAGACCTTTTTACTTATACAAGCTAAAGCCACTAAGATCTTACGTTTTTTTGCCAACACACACAGTCAAGCTGGAGTACAACAACTTACACAAATGACAAAAAAATTAAATTAAGTTCGGCTGTATTAGGAAATCAAATCTGTTATTTATGGCTTTTCACTTTTTTTAACATTAACACTAGGATCTTTACCTGTGTCGTGAATACGTTTATAACATACAAATACACGCACAAATTTCTCTTATACCCCGAACAACAATATGTGGCTGTTGTCCTATGCTGGACTGGGTCCTGCTACACGTTGCTTAGCAGCCAGTCGCTCAACCGTCAAGTCAACGACTTTCCATCGACAACTAAATACTTTTTAATACACCTTTTTCCTCCTTAATATAAACGCAACAAATTTGCATGTTAGAACTATTTAAATATGGAATCTAGAATTCTTTCTAAATGTTTGTTCCAGAATGTCGGATATCAAAGAACTCTTGCACTCAATGAAGGCCGAGAAAGATGCTTTGCTCGTTGAGAGAGAGAAAGGTGCGACTGGAGACGCGAGCATTCTACAAGAGTTTAATTACAGACGCCTTAATAGAGAAATGAATCTGCTATGTAATGAATATGAGACCCTGGTTTCAACTAACGCTTCTATTGAAGAAAAGTTGGCGCAACTGGAAACTAATCCACCCAGGTTTGTACATCTATATATATAAAAGTAAGTCGTGTTAGTTACTCCACTTATAACTCAAGAACGGCTGAACCGATTTAGCTGAAAATTGGCAGGGAGGTAGTTTAGAGCCAGGAGAAGGACATAGAATAGAGTAGGTAGTGTAGGTTAGGTAGAATAGGGTAAGTAGAGTAGAGTAGGTAGAGTAGGGTAGGTAGAGTAGGTAGGGTAGGTAGGGTGGGCAGGGTAGGTACCGTAGGTAGGGTAGGTAAGGTAGGGTAGGTAGGGTAGGTAGGATAGGTAGGGTAGGTAGGGTGGGTAGGGTAGGTAGAGGAGGGTAGGTTTTCAAATGACGGGAGCAACGCAGCAGGTAAGAGCTGGTATTCTTATATTAATAAGTTGTGGTTTGCTTTTTGATTGGTTAAACGCGCTTTCTTCAAGACCTTATGGTTTATACATACATACATACTTACATATATATATATAGTTTAATTTTATTTTATTCGTCTGATGTGTAGCAATAACTATAAACACCTCTATTATATTGGGCAATACTGTAATGATAGTGAGTTTGTTTAATAATAATAAATAAATAAACAAATATCTATCTATCCGAAGTTTTCTATACATAGGTACAGTCGCGTCTTACCGGAGTTTTGTAGTCCAGAAGAAAACTCACAGGCTAGTGACGATAACGATGAATTTAGCAAAAATCTATTTTCTGTGGGGATTTAAAATATGCCCTAAAATTTCCTTTTTTCCCTTCCTTTTCATATTTTTTAACTATATGTTTTTTCAATGATCACTTACTTACCTCATCTTCAGTAATCAGGCCCAATTAAAATTTAAAGGTAGAGCGAGAAATAAAATTGATGTTCGACGAAAAACACAGCTCGGTTTTGGCCTTCCATTGTGATGGCCTTCAGAATGTTTTTTTATGCGATAGGTCGGCAAACGAGCAGACGGTTTACTTGGGGATTTAAGAGATTTAGGTTGGGGAGGGATTTGGGGAGGGGAAGGATTGGGCCTCAGGTAACCTCACTCACACGGCGAAACACAACGCTGTGATTGTTTCACGCCGATTTTCTGTGTGGTCGTGGTATCACTCCGATCGAGCCGACCCATTTGTGCCAAAGCATGGCTCTGCCAAACTTAAAAGTTGCTCCTCTCGCACCGCCTTGGGGCTGGCCCCGCTCATGTTCACTCACACCCTTTTCATTAGGTACATACATAGGGTGTACACTCTAATGGTGTGATTACTTATTTGAATATTTATCGTTATTTAATAGTTTTTTTATTATATTATGAAATGCTTAGGTCTGTCTGTATGTCTGGTTTTTTTTAATTGTAAGTTCATGTTTTTTTAATACTTAAGTTTTAAGTCTTTTTATTGGCTGTCGGATTACCGAGCAAATTTAGAATGTGTTTTATCTTGCTGTAAGTCTTCCATGTTGTATAAATAAATAGATAAGTATTAAAATAATTAATGTTTGTTTTAGTTCTGTGTATTTGTCGGTGCGTGACAGACAAATATTGGATTGGCATTTCGCCAATTTGGAGTTCGCTAACGCAACGCCATTGGGCAACTTGTCACTCAAACACTGGGATCAAGACGACGACTTCGAGTTCACTGGGAATCATTTAACAGGTATGTTTTTTTTCTAATATTATATACTAATATTATAAATAAAAATTTTGTAACTTTGTATGTAGGAGGTTATCTTTGGAAACGCTGGTTGGATTTACAAAATTCTTTCACTGATAGATAGCTACAAAATTGCTGAGTTGATTTGCGTATTTTAGTCGAGCTATATCTCTTTAAACGCTCTTTATACGCGTGCAAAACCACGGACGGAAGCCAGTATGGAATAGGAGACAAACGAGCAGATGGAACACCTGATGTTAAGTGATCAGCGCAGCCCATGGACACCTCCATCGCCAGAGGACTCACAAGCGCGCTGCCAGTCTTAGAATACAGCAATAGTATTGAATTATGTAATTATGTTTATTATTGACTGGATGGTTGATGCGGTGGCTGAGCAACTGGCTGCCGCGCAACGACTCACGGGGTCGTTTCCCGCACGGAAAAACTCTGTAATGTAATGTATGTTTGTAAACGCACAAACGGCACTGCAAAAAGGCAACGTTTTCTTTTTTTTTCAAATAGTCTATTTTTTCTTTTACTTCTGTGTATATATTTAGTACTCATCTAACTTAAGAATTGAGTAGTGTAATTGGGTTTGTACCGTACTCAATAAATAAAGCTGATATTCAGTCAAGAACGTATAACGTATGTTAAACGATGTAAAATAATATACTGTTCGAGATCGGCATACGCGACTTCCATGCGCGACCCATTATCATGTGTCACCTTGGCGCCCCTCCACATGGTGGCGCCTTAAGCACTTGCTTAATTTACCTTAGATATAATACGGCCACTAATAGGTCTGAACCGCTCGTTTGCTCTTTAGCCCACGTATAAAGAAGGTGTTTATTGTTTTTTAACAAGATATTGTTCTCTATTGTTGAATAGTGTTTTATCATTTGGTACCCATCCGTTTTGTATTGACGGTTGAACGGTTGTCGACGAATTCTTAACTTGACTTTCGCTCCTTGCTGTAGTATTACGTTAGACAATACGACAATAAATAAAAAAATAAAAAAAATGAAAATGATTTGATTTCAACTTACAAAACCACAAAAATATTCATTAAATTATTTTACGATAAACATACTTAATATTCGTATGTTTGTTTTTAGATAATTGAAGAGAAATAAGTAAGTACTTACACGCTTTGACATAAAAATTATAATATCCTGCTAAGACCTGCTATTTCATACGAAATTGTTAGAAAAAATTACGTTATTGACTAGTTGGTAACTATTCTATTCATTCGGGAATTATAACATACGAAAACAGAGTTCGTTATTTACACGACGATGCGATACTGGAAGTTCTATTATTATCGATACAAGTGTTTATTGTGTGGCAACAATAATTCAATATTTACATTCTGCGGTTTTTAAGTAAAAAAAACAATGAATTAATATCATTTATTTCTATAATTCAGTGAATGGTTATAAGCACATGTTGGGTTTATTGAGTTATTAGTAATTACTTGAATGTCATATTTAATTAAGTGTTCCGTAATTGAGGGTAGGTGAACAATTAACAAGAACTTCTGTAAAGAAAGACTAGGAACAACAAAACCATAACGCCCATAAACATAGTGGACTGTAGATGGTAATTGGAAACCGCTTCATATAAATTACCTACCTGCTAAAACATTAGATATCTGTAAGGTCTTAGTTACGAAAAGGTCAGGATAAAATTAAAATACACGCATGACAGAATTTTATTTCAAAAATTTGTTAAGACAAAAAATTTGTCTTATGTCCGTTGCGGTTGACAGGCATTTCTTCTCGAATGTTTTCGAAATAAATTTTCTGCAACACGTTACGCGCTCTGATTGGCCTACGAATCAGCCAATCAACCAATCAGCGGGCTAAACGCGGTAACGTTTCGATCGCCTTAACGTAATAGTACTCGTCGTCTCCTACTGACGAACAGGGCTAGACAGATATTGATAGTGTATAGTACGTATTTTTTAATATTTTTATTCCTCTTCTAATCTATTATAGTGGTTTAATTCAACACGTTACTAAGTAACCCCATGTGTTAATAAATGCCTGCGTTACAACCGAAATGCTTTCTTCTTTATTTGGAGAGCCAATCTCCAAATATGAGGGGTTGGTATTACTCGTATCAAGCTTTTATTACTTTTTCTTAAAATTCCATTTGTGACTGTAATATGAATAGGTACATTAATTTCGGTTTAAACAAGTATATGTTTCTATTAACGAAATGTCATTTTAGTGTAAGAGTCTGGCTTTCCACACTTTCTTGACAGTTATGAAATCAGTTACTTAGCTCATAGCAAAATTACATTCGCCTACAATAGACATTGTTATCTTTTGTGGCATTTCCACATCAAGTAACAAATACGTAGTTGACCCTAAATTTAAAAATCAAAAATATGCAGTTTTCGATAACATAGATCGATTGTAAATAAAAGCAATATAAAAATAACTACGAAAATATTCTCCACGTTAATCCAACTATAAATATCGCTTCCTCATACATAACATACAAGCGATCAATCAACCCATAGAGTCGAGATTGTTTGACCGATGAAGTGACAAACGGCATCGATAAAGAAACACTCCATTAGGATGGTTTCCACCGCTAATCACCAGGGCATTCGGGCGTCGGGCCTGCGATGGCAATAACTTCAATTAGCCGCTGCCACGGCACTCGTTAGCGTTTTACTGAACGTTTCCGTGCAATCCAGCACGATCGATGCGCCATTGTATCACACACAAAAGATGCTACCGAATAGCAATAGCTGTCCCTATAAGGGTAGTTTTACCTCGGTGTGTTATTTGTTTCCACTTAGGCCATGCTATCTGAGCAACGGTGAATCTGCTGAGCTTATATGGGTTTTGTATGTAGCTGCATATTTTATTCGCCTCGCTTTATACATTAAATGTACTTACATATTTTATGCCATTGGGTGGCAAAAACAGCACCTATTTTATTGATGCCATTGCTTTGTAAAATACACAAACTACATCATAAATAAAACTTTGTACTTAATCGTTTTGTACACAATATGTTGTCTCTGTGAACACTGAACATCGATTCTTTCGCGAGTGTGGTTCGTGCCCAAGGGCTTGCCCCGTTATGAATGTGGAATTTTCGAGTTAGTGGTCGGTTGTGATCTTTAGTAGCGGATGCCGGATTTTAGCCCCAAGCGATGGTTCGTGTCAGTAATTATTATCATTTCTGGCCGCAAATTTCCAACTCCTACAGCCGATAAATTACTATATCTGCCTTCTGTGAATTGTCATAATAGCCGTTGCAGAAAACGCGAGCCCAGTACTTAGCTACTTTACGCGCATTCGACTGAGACACTGGCTATGCTTGCACAAGTTTAATATTATAAGTTGGATAAGTAAAGCCAGAAATAGTGTTTGCTAACTAAATAATGTTGCTTGTCTACTATTCGTTACCCGAATTTGCATAATGTATTCTTCTAAGTTAACGTCAGGTTGTAGCTGTCACTTTCTGAATAATATAGCATTTGTTTAGATTTCATTTATGTTTGTCGATTAGGCGTAAAATATAAAAAGGGAAGGAGTGAACTTGCGTCCGTTGTTCAGTTAAAAGATATGTATCGCGACATCCCCAAGACGCCTCTTTTGTACGGCGGTTGTGCGTGTGTTGTCGGCCATATTTCTTACTGTTCGCTTGCTCCGTGGTGTGTTCGCGGCGTGGGTAGTTGAAAAATGACATCTTGATTGTTGTGCGTTATTCTACTCATGAGAATGTCGAGTCGCAGTGGTCGCGTGCACAGCCATTGTCAGGGTTCTCAGCCCCAGGCACTACAAATTGAACGATTGTTAACCGTTCCTTGAAAACTTTGTTATCGTGACTTGTCACGGAATTATGTGTACTTACTGGGATAACATATTTTGTTAGAATATTATAGTAAATATTATATTTTAGCGCTGCTACGCTGTCGAGGTAACCAGTTTTGCGACTCCAACCAACCAGGCTCGTAGATTAACTACATTTTTGGTCACCATAATAAAGTGTTTGTAGACGCTTGTATTGAAGCGGTAAGATAAAGATGTGCTTTTAGTAAAAGAAATTCTGAACGATAAAAGACGCAGGTCCTTAGCATAGCGATTGTTTGTTGATAAATGTTTTTTTTTTAAATAGGATAATACTTCGAGTTTGAAGCTTTGTTAACATGTACTTACAATCATCTAATTTTATTATCTCTCTAATTTAATTCATTAATGAAATCGGTACAAAACATCTATTGATGAAATCATAAGTAGGTTTTATTATATATTTTTTTTTATAAAATGAATATTTCCGAGAATATCTTCGAAGAGACTCGACTCGAAAAGTTTGATTTATTTGTTGATTTTGGTAATAAGCAACCAATTTTTCAATAATTTGACGCAAGCCAAATAAATTTAACATTCCAATGATAATTACACCCGGTAATAATTTATCGACTTTGTATTACGAATGAGGCATTCGCAAATCATAAATAAAACTAACAAAGCGGTCAGAATGAATTATAAGCTGTTTAGCTGTTTACGAACGACAAATGGTGTTTGAAACAAGTCCCTGAGGTGGCGGCGAGGGCCAAGTGATCAGAGTATAGAAGAGCTCACGGCGGCAACAAGTTTTGATAAGAGTGTGCGTGGCAAGATGCAAGGCAGTAATGAATGTGATACAAGCGCGACCTTCCTCATTTATCACTCGCTCTATGAATAAAATATCTCGACGTTCCTTTCGGATAGTGCCTGGTCGTGCTGGGACGCTTACGGCTCACAGCCGAGCGATCACAATCTTCAGCCTAGTACCTAATAATGCTGAGCTCTCTGGAGAAATTCACACTGCTCGCTCTTGTTACGTCTCTTTGTTTAGTGCAAACCAGCCACTAGGGAGTGTCTAGTTCAGATTCTATGAACACTTTTCTTATTTCGTCGATCCATTATTGAAGAGTACTGCTTTAGTTATAGTTGAATGAGATTTTATTATTTGTTAGTAGATTGAGGTGTAAGTAA